ACCCGGACGGACCTGCCCATTCGTGCAACAGCCGAAGCTGTTGCGTGGCCCCACCACAGTTTTTTCATTATTGACTTATTCGCTTATCTTCAAAAATTTCTTCTCTAACGATAACCGTGTTCCCGCTACCCAAGGGAGCTTATTATAAGGTAGCTGTGGTATTAGATCGCAGGCTTAAGAGCTTTCGGACGGAAGCTTAGGGGCTAGTCGAGTGCGATGTTGCATGGCTTACACATAATCCATCTGTTGCATCCATTCTATCTTTTAACCTGCTACGGTTCAGGGATCAGGTATTTATTGAACAAGACATTATTTCAATGTAAATACATGTATATCTGAATTACTTGTTCGATAGATATATTTAATTTATTATTAATTTATTTAATTATTATTATTTAATTATTTCATTTATTTAATTTCTACATAACATTGTTAAATAATATCTGTCTTTCAATTAGAGTGTGCTACAAAACGTCCATGGTATCTTTTGTACTATTACATACTTTTGTTTAGTTTTTCTACACTTGGGTAACTGGTGTAAACTATATTCCAATAAACATGTCGTAATCGTCGTCAGCTTCATATTTGAAGGGGAATGATGATATCTGGAGGGGAATGATGATATCTTCTTTAATTTTTATAATGTATAATTACATTTATCCAAATACGTAGTTTACTTCTTAGGTTCAGGACCATCTATATGATTTTTACGTTTGTATGATTTGTATAACCGATATGATTTAAAATTCGAAGACCAAATCATAAATAAAGTATTTTTTACCGAAACATCTTCTCATCAGAACTACTGCAAGATGGGTGACATATTTGTCACAGTAAGAGACTAAGATATATTCATAATAAGGTAGTTATTAGATTTAGCAATATACTGATTTGTAACTAAGTTGTTTCGTTATTCCTTGGTCAGGTAAAGGGGATCTTGTAGAGAGCTGGCCCTCCATACAGAGGGTCTTAGGGCATAATCCACCACACGACCCCACTGCATTACGGCGGACTTCACATATCCTCGAAACATTTTTTTTTTTTAAAAGATACGCATGCAGGTTTCCTCACGATGTTTGCTTCACCCCTCAGCATGTGATAAGTCAACACTTTAAATCAACAACTTAATCGGTGTCGGCGCCGAGTTTTGAACTCAGGTTGCTCGAGTAGGTATATTGAATTAAAACCAAGCGCCCGAAAACTGAGCTTTCGTTTGCCAAATTGAATCTGTTTTTTATGTGTAAAGATGACAAGCAAGTTGGTGGTTCACCAGATGTAAAGTGACAATTGATGCACATTGAGATTTGCAACACCCGTAGGGTGGCAGATGCGTTGCCACCTCTTAGTAAAGTGGGCCCCGCCACCTCACCAGATGAAACGCAGACGCATAACACCGCGTCTTCACGCCGGTCCTCTGTTAAGTCGTGACACTTACCCGGGCGCACCTGCCCATTCGTGCAACAGCGAGATCATACCACAGTAAACAATTCTCTTTAACAACTGCAGAAAACATTGCAAAATATTATGCAGTCAGTTTAGCTCACGGTGTTATTCTTTTGCGACCAATAGTTGTTCGTCGTGTTGTCACAGTGTTGCACACGTTAACAAATCTTGGTGCTGTGTTGTGTACACTGTGGGAGCGCGTCTTTTTCCGCCCCCCTCCCCTTCCCAGCACATTTACAACCCTCCTCCCCACCCTTCCGCCTGTCAGAGAATTAGACAGCTTGGCCTCCAAGCGACACTCGCCTCAACGTTTGAAACCTATGTTGTCGTAACGATGTCTTTGCAGTGGAGACGTATCTCGTATTCATTATCGCACTGCCAAATGGTGCCATTCGTATGTACAGACTTCATTCATAACGGCGCGTCTTTTACTTCGTGGTCAGATGGGGCTCGAACGGTTGTCATTCAGCTCGGTTGCGCGTTCGATATCCGTGCGGGTGAAATTATTCGTGTGAAACGCAAATGTATAATTTCTCCTGATTAAAGGAGGGTTGACGTCAGGCAGGGTTGGTCGTAAAGAACATAGCCAAAAACGCTTGCAACATGATTCACTTTTTGTGCTGACCGCGCCTATTTGGGATGAGGGCAGGAGTATGATGATGGTGATGATGTGATGGTGATAATGATGATGACTATGATGATGATGACGATGATAATGATGGTGGTGGTGGTGATGATGATGATGATAACGATGATGATGACGATGATGATGGTGGTGGTGAAAGTAGTCATCAATGTACTCCGTGTTGGTGTTCGCATAGTTTTAAATGATTTATTTATTATTTTATTTTGATATTATAACCTTTTATTTTATTATTATTGGTAGTTTATTTTGGCAGCAGTCACAATATTGTGGGTGTTAATAAAATGGCTATAGTTGTAGCCTGAGGCATCGAGAGCGACGCAGGTTACTTTAGCGAAATCTGTATTTTTTTTTTGTTTTCCAACCTTTGAACTCCAAACAACTTCGCCTCCAATGAATCGCTTTGAAATGTCAAAATAACATTATATATTTGCCGTTCATGACAATTGAAAAAAAAAACATTTGCCTCTTTTTATCTTATATGAATTTGCCAGCATCGCATTTAGTTTATAACTCTAACTAGGCCTATGAATATGACTAATATATGGGTAGGCTCAACACTTCGTTACACCGCTTTTCTTTGATACTTCGGTACTTCCCAAGTTATGATGATTTTAATGCTACCCTAGAATCTCCTGCGTAGCTGTACCACAGTGAATGGGCAGGCATCTTAATGCGGTTGGACCAGGCAACAGTCTTCACTGTTACACGAATGGGCGGGTCCGTCCGGGTTAGTACCACGGCCTCACAGAAGACCGGCGTGAAGTGGAAGTGTATACTTCTGCGTTTCGTCTGGTGAGTGAGGTAGCCGGGGCCCACTTTAATAAAGGTTGTCAAGGCATCTGCAAGTCATCGGGTGTTGTTAATGTCCACGCGGACCGCCTGCTCGCTTGACAACCTTTCGCACTAAAAAGGTCATAATATGACCCGCATATCATCGCGTCTTTGCCCAAAATCAACAAGAACTAAACTTCGTAAAAACGTATAAAAACAGAAAAAACTTTAATACTTATCGCAGCCAAACAAAACACGAAAAAGGTATTAAACTACGCCATAATAATCCGTCGCTCCTTCTCGCCCTCGTTCCGACCTTACTTCGTATATCACACGGAAGGAAAGACTTAAAAACAATTTTCAATTCGAGAAAGTCTTCTCTAATCAGATTATGACTCTGAACTTTAAAAGAGTATTCACGACGCCAATTTTCGCGGCCCGTCTTCAGCACTTAGCGTCGGGAATAAATATTCGATAGAGAAAATTTGAGTTATTTTCGAATCGTTAAACTGAAGTTGTGTCCGGAAGTTTTATAAAAACACCATCAATCTGTAGACTCCGACTGAAAAGTTTTACTTTGAATGTAATTTTTTTGTAATTTCTGTTGTTTTCTTTTGTGCTCGCGGTAAACCACTTCCAGCGATGGGCTGTGATATAAAACAACAAATATCGACAGAATTTTTGCAAAGAAAATTCCAGCGTTTGAAATTACTTATAGCTACTTCGGACGACCAAGTTCATTTAATGGGGCGTAAAAACAAAACAAAAATAGTGTTAAACACATCTAATTATTCTAATACATATTATAAATGTTTTCAATTTAACTTGAAGAGTACAATCTTGAATAAGTCTTTTAAATATTGATTTAAAATATACTTATATTTAATTTATTGTACGTAGTTTGATATATTTTATTGTACTATTAGCTGAACGGTGTAGACTTTTCCCAGATATTTTGGCAAATAATTATTAATATTAATACATTATCACAGACATCCTCAATACCAACCTTTTGCCGTTACATTTTGTGAGTATATAGACCAGGTTATGGATATTCAATTTAATAGAAATGTGAGAATCCTATCAGTACTGGAAACAATGATTTCGTCTTACTCATAAACGACCAACTGCCATTAGATGTCTTGGCACTTGGCGTTTTGCATTATGTAGCTTGGCTAGTTGACCGTCCTATCCGACTTCTATCCAATGAACATAGAAGTAAACCAACTCGCAAATCTTCTAGCTGGCACACCTAATTGATCGGGGGCATTTTTCGTTCGCTCGCCATTAAAGCCAACAAATATTAATCACTCAACCCTTTATACGAAGCACTGATCGATTGGACAGTATTGTCTAAGCTATCTTTTAAATTATACAGTCTGGAAGCGAATTAATATCGGCTTTGTCTATTTTTCCTTCGCCCACCTGCGCGGTCCCCGTGCCGGCGATATGCAAAATAGATTACTTATAACGGGAACGCTATTCCCTAGGGCTGCCATCCATTCCGTCCTTGTTTATATAGCATTGTCGAGTATTCGCGTTCATACAAGAGTTTATTAGATTCTTTTTTCGATTTGAGGGCCGATGAATCTTATTGACCTTCAAGAAAAGACCTTTCTTTATCGCGTATTATCATTTTCGAAGTTAGAAACGATGAGATAGATCTACTTGTCACCACACAGGGCATAGCCTACCCTGCCGCCTTGCCCGAATCAAGACAAACTTGTTTGTGCCGAAGGAATTGTGCTCCAAAAAGAAAAACAGAGAGTTATGAAATGTGTTTCTCCGGTAGCCTCTCAAAGTGCAAGGAGATGTAAAAACAATTTAGTCAATTTACTGTATGTGATGTTAAGAAGAGCATATTGTCCATATCTTCAAATTCGTGATGGTAGTGATGACATTAGCCGTAAGATGATTATACCTCTCCTTGATATTATAACTCCTGTTATCACTTCTGTTATCCCACGGATGTACCAGAAACTGTCAACATTTGGCATAAGCACAACTTGTCCAGGGAAACACAGCTATAGCTTTGTTTCTGTGTCGTGGATGAGAGCGTCCTAATCGAACTTCAAATCGCTTTTTGGTTCCCTGAAACAACCCGAATTGACAACCCCTGCTAAACGCAATCATCAGCATAATGCTAAGGTAATTCAGTTTAACCGGACTGCATTTCGCGGCGTCGTGATGCAATAAGACGCGGCCATTGCGAGACTTTCACGCGACTCTCATCACGGAGATTTATATTTGCTATCTTTTTTATGAGCTAGCTTCGTGTCGTTTTTCCTCTTATAACTTGTACGCTGACTAATCGGGGTTAACGATCACCAAGGTAGCTTACAAGAGAGTGGCCATTGAATATTATTCGCAATTTTTTTTACAATTTTGGATTTCGCCAAGACCTGGAAAAATCACCTAATGGGATATTTAGTGACGTTGTTGAATCTTAATTTCGGATTTCTTCATCGCCATTGAAATCCTAGATTAGATACAAGATTTCTAAGAAGCGCGAACATGAAAGTAAGTGCTTGGTGTCGAAGTTAAAAAAAACATCGCCGATGCGCCGAGCTGCCTAGCAACTCGAACCAACTTCGATAAAATACTACGAACATTTTGATAGCATCTCTGACTCGACTATATTCTTTTGTAGTCACAGGGGCAGATTTTCTCTAAGAGCTCCCGTTACTGAGCAAGTTAGAGCAGTTCCTTAGTAAAAAAAGTATGGATGAAAGAAGAGTGCTGAATAGTACTACTGAATAGTAGTAATATATATAAAAATCAATCCCAAAAAAAATGCGGTTACTACTTGATGATAAATTTTAATATTGTAAGTCCTACTTTCTTAATGAAAATAACAGTACTATTGACGTATTGTATGTATCATAATCTAATCTAATTAAGTATTGTATATAATCTAATGTTTTATGCTTAATTTTAATTTATAATATATTTACAATAGTGATAGCTCCGTGTCCGGGCACTCGCCTTTAATTCAATTTACTCGAGCAACCAGAGTTCGATCCTCGGTGCCAGCACTAGTTAAATTGTTAATTTTAAGTGCGTTGTAAATCACTTGCTCAGCGGTGAAGGAAAAGATCGCGAAGAAACTTGCATATTTTCGAAATAATAACAAAAAAAGTGTTTCGAAAATATGTGAAGTCCGCCAATCCGCAGTGGGGTCGCGTGGTTGACTATGCCCTTATACCCTCTTTACAAAGGATGCCGTTGCCAAGCAGTGGGATATTTACAGACTGCTACTTTTACAATTATATTTCTTACTATACCTTTATTTGCTTTCATATGTGTTAAATTTTCGATCTTACTTTTAAATTGTAATCGGTCATTAAGTGGCTACATGACATCTACACTGCTTAGAGTACCAAAAATGTTGAACTTCATCGTGACTTTACACCTGCATATGCCCATACACTCATCATATGTTTACAAATAAATTATAAATATTATTTACGAATTTAACCTCGCTCGGGGGTAGTACTAATTACGGTAACGTCACCTCTGCAGACGATCGCATTATTCTGCACGCGAACCACGTTACGTGGACGTAACGTTAAAAATATACCACCGAGGCACATGACGATGTACTCACTTGACGTCTTTTTGTTGCAGGGGCTTCGGCAAACAGGGCTTCCAGTGTCAAGGTGAGCACAGATGGTAGTAAATAGAATAATGGCATTACTCACCCCACGGTACACTTCAAGCATGTAGCAACACCGTTCAGAATTTTTAATACCCACCGTTACATAATCAACGCAGGAGAAAGATCCGTCTTCTATAAATACCTTCACCTTAGTCTATTTGATCTTTTATCCCTGGAAATGGTCAATGACATTGGGACGCGAAATGGTAAGACAATTTTCTATTAAAATGGTAGTAACAATTTTAGGAACGAAATAGATCGGCAAACAGACCGAACTGAAATTGATTAGATCGAATATCATTATTAACAAGTTAAGTATATAAATGTATTACAAACTTACACAGACGATATCTTTCTTTTCGGCTGTATAATCTGTATCTGCCAATTGTTCAATTTACAGCTTATGCTGTAGTATATTCTCTTATCTTTATTTATCGTCTGATGTTTTCAGCTTCGTTGACCCTTAAAGATTCATCGGGCTTAGGGCCCGGTAATAAGCTTTTACCCGTGGAATCATCCCTTACTTATCCAAGTCAGCAACGTTCGTCTACGAAAGTCTGAAGTATTTTAACGGTTCCTATTCAATCCATGTTATGTCTTCACATTGTTAAATCAAACAATAACTTTTTACCACTTTTTTTTTTTCGATTCTATGGTCAGGTCTTGGTACTGACTGAAATGTTTTCCATTCTAATTTAACGATTACAATTGATTATAACCAGAAAGCAGAACATGAATTAGTCCGTTAGCTTTGATGGTGTTTCAAGTATTCGCTTGTCCCTAAGTATTTATTATATTAACGAAAGTCGTGACAGTTACAAAAAATAAACGACAGTAACGTTGTTTTCTTCAGTATCAAACATCGCTCCAAACAATGCTTGGTTGTTTCTTAGAACTAGTTTAATATTTATCTTAACTTTTAAATATTTCCCTGTCCAATGTCGTTGCAAATCAATAGCTTGATTAATCATTTCCTCAATTATGTTCTCATATTAGAGTTCTATTCCCGTTCGTTATAAATTTTATGTTATCTTGGACTTTGCAGAAAACTTCTAGTTCTACTTCCTCTAAGGAAAATCTGCTAGTGTTGCAGAAAATATTCTTATAAATTACTCTTTCCCTTTCTATATTTTTAAGGACAGTCATACTGAAAACAAAAATATGTATCCCACTTTTCTAACATAACTTGTAACAACAAAAAGTATCACTACCCGTACACTGACTAAAGCCTCTAATTGTTTTTTAAATCTTCAAGAGAAATAGTTGTTTAAATGGTATACTGTCAACAAAACTATTATTATAAGTTTTCAATAATACTGTTTATTTTATCGAGGTGGGAAACTATACATCTGTTAAGTAGTATTATTAATTATAAGTTTGATTTCCACCTGAGACAAATATGTGTATTACCGTAAATTATGCTGGACCTGATTTTTTTGTTGACATTTAATGATGATGACCACCTTTGTATTGGGGCAGGCATGTCCAGGATATTTAAATTTAACATTCAAAAGAACTTAAGATCTGGATCTAGAATTAATTTATTTTTGTTACGTTTAGAACTAACAATTTATATAATGTTTAAACAAAATAATCTTTTCAATAACTTTAAAAGGAGAATGTTTTTCAATTTAATTTTCATCACACAAGAAGCTTGTGAAATAGTTAACAGTTCTCTGATAGTGATTATTATCGGCCATAGACACAACAATATCCAATGTGGGCGAATCTCTGGATAGCTCTACTGGCGAAATGCAAAAGCATTTTTTTAATCTGAGAAAGTGGCAAGTGAGCTGGCGGTCCACGCGATGTTAAGTGGTAACCGCCACCCATGGACATTTGCAACACCCGTAGGGTTATATCTGTAACCCAATATTGCCACCTTTTAATAAAGTGGGCCCAGACTACCTCGCTCATCAGACGTAATGCAGAAGTGTAACACTTCCACATCACGCTGGTCTTCTCTGTGTTCGTGGTACTTGCCCGGACGGACCTACCCATTCGTGCAACAGCGAAGACTATCACGTGACGCTACCACAGTAAGAATACTTACTTTTCTCGATATTCCTCTTCTGCGACCCTGCGTGGCACGATCGTCCTTTCGAACATCAGAAGAAGCTGCATCAACGTTCTGCCACACTAAAAACCGTGACCCTGTCTTGTTTCCAGTATGCAGCTTCGTCGTGCACAAGAGGTGCCACGAGTATGTCACCTTCACCTGCCCCGGTGCAGACAAGGGAGCGGATTCCGACGTGAGTAACTTCACTGAATGCAATTTTAATCTGTTATACTTACATAGGATTAAATATGTTTTATATCTTCGTATCTTTACAGATGCTCGTACTTTGGTTTTCAGTGATACATTTTTCGATTATTAATGGTTAGGATCTAGGTTGGTATGTTTACAAATAGCCGTTGAAATTCGAAACAGAGTAAAAAAAAACACAAAAGACCAATCACACAAAAACAATTAGGTGGGCAGGTTTGATTATGTGATAATTAAACTGTTATTTAAAAATCTAAAACAATATAACGAATCGTCGGGGATGATTAATAAAAGACGAATAGTAATTTAAATATTAAAAGTAAAATGAAATTAAACGATTTAAAAATGAACCCGAGAAATGAAATAATACTTTGTACAATTCCCTCCTCTGTCGACGCCCCTAATTGATTCAATTCAAAATATAATTGCTTTCTACCAAATCTTCAAAGAAATGTACAAACATTTAATGATAAACATAATAATGTAAAAACATCATCGTTTGATATATAAAATAAATCATAATTTTTTTGTACGTCCGTATTTTATCAGTTGATAATAGCTTAACAAATTCATAATTTGTTTTTTTTTTATAATTTGTTTTATATTATGAGTCGAAAACAAATTAACTTTGTATTTATCAATTCAGCTGAATACAATGACGTATTCATTCAACTAATTATTGAAGGCCTAATGCAAAACGTAACGCGGCGTGCACTTTAATTTAATCGTTATTGATCAGTTAGGGACAGACCCAGGTTGCCAGGGCGAGCTCGTGAGTAATTACCTCGATTACTGGCGGCTCAGGGGAATTCGACTATATTAATAACATTAACTCGCCCGTAAAGCTCAAAGCCGGCTTTTTTAATCACAACAAACTAGGAGGTTTCGCAGCGAAATTACCTTGTGTATCATATTGTATTTGATACTGGTTTCATCGCTTAGTGGACTAAGAGGTGAATTTTCGAGGGTGTTTTTAAATTTCCTACGTCAAAAGTTATCAAGCGACGAAGTGGTTTACCTGATGTTTGTTTGGAGAAACTACCGACGCCCGTCGAACGATTTCTTCTATTTATTCTACAATTCATGATGATTTGTGATGCGTTGATATCCTTTAAAAACCGGCCAGGTGCGAGTCGCACTCGCGCACGAAGGGTTCCGTACCATTATTAAAAAACATATCTGTTGTATGGGAGCCCCACATAAATATTTTTATTCTGTTTTTTAGTGTTTGTTGTCATAGCAGCGACAGAAATACATCGTATGTGAAAATAACAACTGTCTGATTAGCACGGTTCGTGAGATACAGCCTGGTGACAGACGAACAGACAGACAGATAGAGAACGGTGTCTAATACCGGAACCGTATTATTATTTATATCTTACCGGGTACGGAACCCTTAAAAGTGGGCCCTACTTACCTCACTCACCAGACGAAAGTTTAATATTTCCACCACACTCCTGTCTTCTGTGAGGCCATCTCACTTCCACCACGTGCCTGCCCATACGTGCAACAGAATTTTTTGTGTGGCCTTACCACGGTAAAATGTTAGATTCGATTCTTTATCGACAGAGCCTTTGGCACGAATCGTAGGTTGCTTGCGTTTAATTGCTTTCAGCTTTTACTTTTTGTGTCAATAACGAGTCTGTTGTTTGCCGTATTGGTGACTGCTGTAAACTGTACGAATGCTACGCACGGTCCCTCCATCACGGTTAGTTATGACTTCATTAAATTATTTCACAAGACGTCGGGCTGTCAATGGGCGAAAATCCTGCCCAGAAGACTTAACACTTCGTCAGATAAGAGTACGAACAGTTTAGTTGGCTGATTCGATAGAAGGGTTTACAGAATTGCAAATTTCAAAGCAGTAGAAACAGTCAGCATTACTAATTTACCTCCAAAATTGCAATCCCTCTACCGAAATTTTACTGGAAACAATGTGCTCCAATCGTGTTAACTTCCTTTTTTTTCCAATTCAATCAGTCAACTGTTGGACATAGGACTCCCCAAGGCACGCCATAGTGCACGATCTTCCGCCTCCCTCACCCAGCCAGTACCAGCGACCTTTATCCAGTCACCGTTCCACCTGGTCCTTAACGTGGATGTTAACTTTGATGAAATCAAACCACCCCTCGTCATAATGCATAATCTACACATACTTTGTCTACTGTAATTAAAAAAAAACTTCAGCTAGCATGCGGGGCGTAGTTTTGAATCGCGTGCGTCCCGTAGCGTGCTCCCGACGATCGACGTACATCGGCCGGCTCCGTGCGGGGCCACTTTGGCTTAATTAGAAAAAAATGCGATTCGTTCTAGAACATTCGAGCCAGGGTATGGCGGACGCCGGGAGCAATTACCCGAGCGGTTACTCGATAACCTTGCGCAGTGCAAATTGTTTCTTTCGTGGCGGTAATTGTAATTTCGTCAGCGGTCAGAAATGTTCACTTTCGGTAAATAATGAATAAAAAATTACACACCGTTGTACTATTATACCCTCGAACCGAGCCCGTGAACTACTGCTAGACTAGAATGGGCCGCAATTCGTTCCAATATTGGATTGTTTGTCGGAACATTGGACCAAACGCTGTTCGAGAGAACCTCAAAGCGCATTCGTCACAACTAATAATAGAGAACCCGTTAATTGTTAGAACGCGCGGCGACAAACTAATTGGGGCCAATTGGCTGTTCGGTAATTACGCGGCGCATTACTTTGTCCGCAATTCGCGAACGTACACGTTCACGTTACGTAAACCGCGTCCGTATATTTGTTGGTAGGATAATCTGTTAGCAAAATTTTTCTTAAGACACTTGATTACAAAGCATAAGGCAGTTTGCTTTATTTAGTTTTTATTTTTTGTACACATTTTTATACAACGTTCTCCCAAAATAAGCAACGCTTGTACTATGGGTACTAGACAACTGATAAACATATTTAAACATACTTTTCTTATGTAAATAAATACATATTATATTATGATATAACTGCTGCCTACGTCTGCGTAGAATAGGCTGAAGGTAACATTAAGAAAGAAAGACAAATATACATAAAATATGTATATAAATTACATCTTAAGTCTTATTTTGACTTATAAGCTATATTATTGTAAAGTTTCATTAAAATACATTCAGTAGTATTTGCGTGAAAGAGTAACAAACATCCATCCATACATGCAAAGTTTCGCCTTTATAATATTAATAAGGATAAACACCCAGACACTAGAAAAACACTATGTTCAGCGCACAGTATTTTTCCATATTATGTGACCTATATATTTTAGGTGACCATCGTGAGGTTTTATTTATTACGTACGTTGATAACAGTTTTACTAAGTTCGAAATGCAAATTGATTTCCCAACCAATAGGCAACTGCCGCCTACAATACGTTTATTACAAGGACATCTCTCACGAAACTCAAATTCTAATCAAAACTTAGAACGGGCTATTATTCTATTGTCAGCTGTAAACTGCGCCGCGGAAACTTATCCCCCAATCGAAGACTAACGCCCGGTTTCTGAAACACTGATTATTGTAGAAGTTAACTAATCAGCTGTTTAATGACAACCATTCTGATGATGTCATTCTGATCATTGAGATCATTCTGATCAATTCAGCGAGTTTAACCATTCTTTTGGCAACTCAAATGACATTTGACAAGTCATTTGACAGCAGATTAGTTAACTTCAACTATGATCAGTGTTCAGAAACCGGGCGTGAGACGAATACGGAGACGTTGGGATCACACACAACTGCCACCCAACCGAGCGATCCAATTAGCTTCGACGATGGGCCAACTGAGACGCGATTAATTAGCGAATTTGCAAGTTCATTTAGGGCGACGTTTCTAGGGTTAGTGGAAATATATACGCTCTATCCAACTCTGATTAAGTGATTGCTACCATTTTTTGATTTGATTTCAAGTCACCCTGACTTTTGAAATTTGTTTATTTCAACTTTTTGATATAACTAACGACCCGCACCGGCCTCGCACGGGTGCAATGCTGAATGTTTGTTTTCGACATCGCATTAGAAACGTCTAAAATTTTCAGTGTTTCTCTACTATGTTATATATGAATTATACATATAAACCTTCCTCTTGAATCACTATCTATTAAAGAAAACCGCATCAAAATCCGTTGCGTAGTTTTAAAGATCTTAGCATATACAGCGTGTCGTTACCATCGCGACAATAAATGAATACACATATAGGGGATAACTTTTTAAAGTTGTTTTAAGCATTTAAATTCTTTAAACATCAATATTTACAGAGTTATAAAATTTTCAAAAACAAAGAATTTTAGACCACCCTTACCTATAAAAGCGTAACGTAAAGTTCATTTGTAAAGGTCACAAACCATATGAATGGGTTGAATGAATTTAAAAGAGACAAAACATACTGTTAGAAGGAGAAGCTTGTAATGCGACGCTGTGGCGCGAGTTGTATAGGATGATAAAAATTTTGTTTCTTTTTTACTTAATTAGTTTGTTTGAAAAATATTTTTTTTTCATTATGGATTTTGTTTAACGTTAATATTTTTTTATGATTATTGGCAAGTAGTGTTAGACGAGTATTCATTTATTGTCGCGATGGTAACGACACGCCGTATAGGGACAGACAGACAGCGGGACGACTTTGTTTTATGCTATGTAGTGAAAAAGTGTGCGTGTACAGAATAGACGTGTTAGTAGCGAAAATTCTTTATTTATTTACATTTCAATAATAAAGGATAGATGACAGAGATTTAAAATGTCATAGGAATAATTTACAATTAGAATTAAAAAATATTACACCAAGTACAAATATCACGTTAACTTATGTTTATTTTATATGATTATAAATACCTACATGATATGAAAAATATATTTATATTCATATATTTGTCATTTTAGATAGAAAAGAAGAAAAAATAAAATATTACTAATGGGCAAGCTCATCCGGGGACTTCACCGTATATGGTGCTGCTTACCATAGCCCCACGAAAGACCAGCGTGAAGTGAAAGTATTGTACTTTCGCGTTTCGTCTGTTAAGTGAGGTAACCAGGGCCAACTTTTTAAAAGGTTGGCAAAGCAATCACAATATAAAAAACTTTTATTTACAAATTATATTTCGTCTCTTTCGATCGAGCAACATCTATCGCATATACTCTAATAATTCTAGTGACGTGAAGCTCAATGAACATGACGGTTTTTCGTAACGATTTCTCAAAGAACAAAAAATTTTACATTCTTGCGCGCAATGAAGTTTCCCTTCAAAAAACGGGTCTACTATTGCCTGTTAGTCTACTTGGTGATGATGAAGAGATGATCAGTAAGAACAATAAAGTAGGGAAGAAGTAATTGTTATCTTTCAATCTAGTGGTAGGGCCACGCAGCAGCCTCGGCTGATCGTCTGGTAAGCGAGTTAGCCGGAGCCCAATTTTCAAAAGGTTGTCAACGCATCTGAAACCCTCGGGTGTAGCAGATGTCCATGGGCAGCGGTATTCACTTACCATCATGTGAACCGTCTGCTCGTTTGGCAACTTTACACTTAAAAAAATCTAAAATCTTTTATTAAAGTACCTTTCAATTGAAAGGCGAAAAGTGAATAATCAAACATATGTTTTACTATCTTATTATTCTTGCCATCGCTCATATTAATTTCCTCGTCTATATAACCAAGCCTTTAAAACATGTTTATCAAACCCTGCCGACATTACACAATTATTTATCATTCGTCTATTTAATAAAAAGGTAAGAGACAAATATTTTAAAAAGAACATATAAAGAAACAAAGAAATGAAAAATCAAAAACGCCCTAAGGGAAATATATATAAATTATATATTATGTATAATAATTCTAATGAATGTATAAATGTAACAATGGCTGGTAAACCAAATAATTGGAATAAAAAAAATTAATTTACCAATTTATGGACAGAATTTAAATAAATTAGTATTAAGTTTTATCGAAGTTGCGCGGTCATTTGTAAAAAAAATTATGTAATATGAAAATGTATGTATGTGTATTTTTGATTTTAATTTATTTAATGTTAATTGTATTTGAGTCTTAACAATTTTTACTATTGTTTTGCCCTAACCATTTTTACTATTGTTTTTACCACCTAAGCTCAGGGTCAGATTTTGAGGTCTTGAGGCCTCGGGGGCAAAAAAGGAGTGGAGGACCCTTAGCCCCAAATTATTTTCTATTGCTGTTAATATGTAATGTAATCATTTTTGTACTGTAGGTAAAAATAAAACACGAAAAAAATATGAAAGGAAAAGTTCTTTACTATTGTTTCTACTACTATGCGGGGGGCGCCTATCCTACATTATGGAATGCAAATAAAGAATAAAGAAATAATTAATGTAAAGTCAATGTTTAATAAAAAAGCGACACAGTCTGTTTTATACTCATGAAAAAGAGTATGTATTCAATAATTTTTGACTAATTAATAAACCAACTTTGGAATTCGTGAACGAGCAAACGAAATAGAAACATTTATCGTATTTCTGTTTTAACTTAGATTTGACCGTTCAAATTGACTAATAGCCCAAACAAATTAATCTTTCGAAAAATATAAGAATATATTCGTCGGCAATACTTAATGCACTTAATAAACCAGTAATGGTTTCTCTGATGCATAGGAAGATAAAAAGCATTATCTTTTTTAAGTACATAAAATATTAGAAATACTAATAATGTATTTTATGGACATAAATAAACAACAAAAACGTACATATGTGAATAACCCATACAAATGATAACCCTGTTTATAACGTCAACGGATCGATGACAAAAAGAATAAACCACCAATAAACCACATTATTTGTAAGTGTGTATTATAGTGTATTGGTAAGTTGTACTGTAATAAGAATTGCAAGATCGAATTCGCGATTTATCATCGGCCAGTATACGCCCGCAGAAGATGATTTATTCAGAGGCCAACATTAAACGACCCGCTCGTGAATTAATCAGCCCATCATCGAGGATCTGGAAATGGTCGATATTCTCTCGTGGATTTATCAAGGATCGGCGTTCCGGTACATATCTGGGGACAGCGCATTCAAATGTTATGGTCAACAGGACACGCGTACCCGGCACAACTTCAAGGTGTGCACGTACTCCTCGCCGACATTCTGCGACCACTGCGGCTCCTTACTCTACGGCCTGATCCACCAGGGCCTCAAGTGTCAAGGTACAACGCCGGGGCCCGAAGAAGACTCTCTTACAGCTTAGCCTCACTTGCGCTTTCTAAGCTAATGCCTCTGTTAAGCCTCTTTTCAGCCGCTGGTGTGTGTGTGTGCGCTGCTAATTTTTTAATTGTCACATTTTTTTGTCTGTCTCTTTCTCGTAGCGCTGTCAGATTTTTTTTTTTATTTTCTCGCATTTCGTTCGCGTCAACTGTCTTTTCCGAGTATTCTACGTATTTCCTTCCAATATCTACTAATGGAGGAGCATTAGCGTTATATATCTTGTACTTCGTTGCTCGGAAAGACAGTTTTCACGGACGAGTTTTCGTAGTGTGAGTGCCTCTCTCGACTTCTGCTCTATTTTTCATTGATCTTATTTTGTTTTTACGCTAGTGCTGTTCACGGTCACAAACCGAAAATTATCATTGATTGTAATTTGTCATTGCAAAGGCCGCGTACGCACCCCACAAATGGAACACTTGGACGTTCCTCGCGCCGACGTTTTGTGACCATTGTGGTACATTGCTGCACGGCCTCGCGCACCAAGGATACAAATGCGAAGGTACACCGCAATGAATAATGCGCCTCCGAGCTGACCGTGTAGCTCCTGAAGCAATCCTAGTATACGGTTCACGGGAATCCTAATGGAGTCACGACGCACTATTTGTGGTGTAATCATTGTGTAGCTAATAAAATTGAGATGGGTGTGTAACATATAACTAATGGTACTGAAAGCACATAAGCTAACCCTGCATCAATATTAGGCAATGTAGTTTGATGTCGTGATCTTTAGCGAAATACCTCATCCAGAATCCAAAAACGAAGCCGATAAAAATTTATCACAGAAGCACAAAGTTTCCTGTTGCGTCAAGAACAAATCGAGTAATTCCATTTCATTCTTCTCAACGTTCTCAGTAAAAATAAAAAATTTTGGCTATTACTTTTCCTTTCTCAGTTCGGGTAAGAACAAAGATGTAAAATGTAATTGACTTTCGATAAATGAAATGTATTTTTCTTATCTCGATGAATAAATGAATTAGATTTTTTGATATTTGTAGGTAGTAACTCAGGGACATCACTAGCAAATGAATAATAAATTTGCTTAATTTTTTGTTATCGCTTCTGATTTAACATTCAACTACGTTGTGTTGTCCGTTTTATGCATTGTCCTCTTGACGTTTGCTGCTACCAGCTGCATGTGATTTGTATTAACATTGTTTGTATTATTCTACCTTGCCTTTTTGTATTATATGTCTGGAATTATACGTAATATGTCGCTTTGCACTTCTCTCGCTACCTTGTCATTGTTAACCTAACTTGTTTTGTTTATTTTTTATTTATATTTATCTGATTCCGTTTGGAATAATTTGTTGACTAAAAATTAATGTTCACAAAATTCAGCGTTATTATTATATTAATGTAACGGATACTTCCTTTTTTTAACCAATCAAGAACATAATGGAAGATCTGTTTTGGGAATACAATAGTTGCATAGTAAACATGCTTTCTACCTACATAGTCGATTGAATTCATGCCATCATGGTGGACTGATGAAATGGCAACATTCTCAAATTTAGTGTGAAATAAACAACTGAAGATGAACCTTTTATTAATTTATAGCTCATAATTTACTATGTAACAGTGCTTGATAATATTCCTCGCTCATCACTTATTATGTAACTAACATTTACTAAAACATCAAACAAAGAATACGTAGATAGCTTCTTGTGTTAGTATTCTGTTTGTTTATTTCAGCTGGTATTTCTAATCTAGAACAATGTTCAACGTTAATATACGAGTAACAGACACAACAAACATACCTAATTTAAAATAAACAGAATACGACTTGCTGAATGCATTGCTCAACATGCAATTCCCATCATCTGTTGTACGAATTTAATTAAACTAAACACCCCTTTGGAAGATGAATTCTTGGGAGGCAAATTAATTTCTTCTACTCTTGGGAGGCAAATTAATAAGGTAAGTGATGGAATAAGTTTAAATACAGTATATTATGAACTGCAAAGCTTTAAAATGAAAGGTTCTTTTTAGAACCTTAGTACCAAGATATCGAAATGGAATTTTGAAGAAGTATAATCTTTTAAATATATGGACAAAGACTAGAATACCAATCCTGTTAATATACATCTAGCACTACAATAATTAAAACTGTTTATTATTAATTACATCAAAAAAAATGTACTAACCTTACACCTACCTAAAACCAGGAATGTCTCTCTTCCAATTTGTATCTCTCTTTCAATCTCTCGATTTTAAAGTATAGGAAAAGACAACAGATGTATTGTTTATACCAAAAAGCGCGTTTTCACAATCAGCATGCGACATGAACGTGCACAAGCGTTGCGAGGAGTCGGTGCCGAATCTTTGCGGCTGCGACCACACCGAGCGTCGTGGCCGAATCCAGCTCTCCGTCTCCTGCCACGGGAACAAGCTCACGGTCGAGGGTAACTAGTTCAACTGTTACATGGACTGTTCCTAATAAACAGTAATGCGGTGGCCATTAATGTTCATTCACAACAGTTTAGAGCAAGGCAGCTATCAGTGTATTTCAGAGTCCGGACGCTCGCTTTTAATTCAAAATCGAGCAAACGGAGTTCAAATCTCGATTCAGGCACCAATGAAGTTGTTAATTTTTAATGCTGGTATATCACGTGTCAGCGGTGAAGAAAAACGTCGTGATATAGATGATGGAGAAGATATGTGAAGCCCGCCAATACACATTGGGGCTGCGTGGTGGACTACGCCCTAATACCCTCCGTACAGACTAGGCCTTTGTTAGGATAGGCTATTACTTAAGTACTTCTTTTTACTTTATGTTGTTGGGAAATGTGCACGTGGCTTACCTTGATGTACGCGTGTGCATCAAGTGCCATCCATTGCCTCACTTGCCAGACGTAAGGCAAAAGTAAAATTAAAGTATAATGCTCCATAAATCCACTTCACGGACGAGCCCGCCCATTCGTGCAACAGTCAGCTGCGTGGCCCTATAGCAGTGAAAAATTTGCCATTCACAAAATTGTGATCTTTATTCGCGCATGGTTGGCATTTACGATATTCACATTCTGCACTTTGATTGAAATATTTTTACCCCTTGTTTTCACAGTATTTGTATTTGTTGCTATATGGAAACAATAAATAATTGATTCGGTATTCTGATCAATTTCTACAGAGATACAAAAGTGGACGGTGTTTAACAAGTTCGAATTACTTTGAATTTATAGAAACACATGTCTTATACTGTTCGTGACATCTTTCGCGTTCAAGTAAATCTCTTCTTATACGTAAGTGCGAAACCATTGAGATTCTTTGTGCCATCTAAGTTTACGACGCCTCCCGCAGTGAAACAGGGCCGCAACCTGATCCCGATGGACCCAAACGGGCTCTCGGACCCCTACGTGAAGCTGAAGCTCATCCCGGACTCGGACAACGTGAAGAAAAAAACCAAGACGATCCGCAGCACCCTGAACCCCGTGTGGAACGAGACACTCACCTTCGACCTCAAGCCCGAGGACAAGGATCGCCGGCTGCTGATCGAAGTATGTAGCCTGACAGCAACCACACAATCACAGGAAAAGATAAAGTGGGGTGACCCCAATTTAATCCCGACTTGTAGAAAGAAACAATCAAGCGACAAATGAAAATAAAAGTAATACATTTAATAGAAAAACCCATGTTTATAACACATTCGTGCTTCATTTCCATAGTTTGTTTAAATTCAACTTCATCGCGTACCATAAATGAGAGAACCCATTGTTATTTCAAAAGAGTATGACAAGATGAATCAAAGTCATGTATAAGTATGGAATAAAATGATTCAAAAATGTCTGTTTGCTGTAGTTCCTGCATTCCTCCTACAGAGGCTGCAAAATGCAACAAGACATTATGTGATATTTAAAAATGTGGCTAACTAGCAGACGGATCACCTGATGTTAATTGATTACCGCCGCTCGTGAGCATCTACAATACCTGGTTGCAGATACGTTGTACAACATTTAAGAAAGTGTGGGCGTCGATTATCCCACTCAACAGGCGAAACGTAGAAGTAATATTTAAGATAAGGCCACATTACGCTGATCTTCTGCGAGACCGTGGTCCTTCCCAAATCAACCCTGGCCCTTAGTGGCAGAGGCTGCTGCGTGGCCATACCATAGTAAGCATATAAATCAAAACACGCATGAACTGGTGTCGACACAACTTCCTGGTCGGTGGAAAAAAATGAAAACACTATTTATATATATAGTTAAGTAACTTTACACCATTGGTCTACTAACCTTCTTAGAGTCAAACAGAGCCTCAATCTGTTTGAAGCGTTGTAAGCGTTACTGCGAATTTTAGTTGCAAACATTAATCTCTGTCAACAATCGCGCAGCTATGGGATTGGGACCGAACCTCGCGGAACGACTTCATGGGCTCCTTGTCGTTCGGTATCTCCGAGGTGATGAAAGCCCCCGCCGAAGGCTGGTTCAAGCTGCTGACCCAAGAGGAGGGAGAGTTCTACAACGTTCCCGTGCCAGAAGAGGGCGCCGACCTCGCCCAACTGAAGACCCAAATGAAGGTACGAAATTTATAACGATTTACGTACTTTTTACATTCTAAACAATAAACATTAATGGCGAATTGCTGATTATTTGTGCATTTTTAATAAAGGCAAATGAGCAATCGATTAAACTTATGGTAACTGGCCCCTGTAATTCAAGTACATCCCCTACAGATGTTAAGTGATTACCACAGCCCATCAACATTTGCACTCAGATCTGGTTGCAGATGCGTTGCCACCTTTTATAAAGTTTAGTGAACCGGTGGTAGTTTTTGACGTTCAATAAGAGCTAAAAGTAAGCCTATATTGAATAAAGATATCATGACTTTTAATAAAGTGGCTACATCACTCACCAGACGACACACAGAAGTGTAACACTTCCACTTCACGCCGGTCTTCTGTGAGGTCGTATTACTTAACCCGAATGGCAGGCCCATTCGTGCATCAGAGAATACCATTAAGTAGCCCTGCCGCAGTCAAGTTCCAGCAAATACAGTTACTTTGAAATATCGACCCAAAGGCTACCAATGTCGGCGCGCGAAGACCACCGCCACCACCTGACAGGGAGGTGCCTCATAATATGGCGGCTGCCGACGTCATCAGGGCCTCCGATTTCAACTTCATCATGGTGCTCGGCAAAGGGTCCTTTGGCAAGGTAAGAATTTTTCGTTTATCACACCATAAAAACTTCAACGAGTTTATCGTAGATTTAAAGGTTTCACTCATTTTCTTGTATGTTACTCATAGCTGCTAAATTTTAAGATATATGGAATACCTTACCGCTCCCTTTTATTTAACCCTTAAAAAATTTACATTTAGGCCGAAACTATAGTTTTCTAACATTTTTTTCATCTCGTTCTTATGCCATCGTGTTCAATATAGAAAATATATACTTTTCATTATATTCTAGACTTTCATTATAACAATTATTATTGAAGTGTGACTATATCTCAGCCATGCAATGCTTTTAATAGATGGTCAAGTTCTCATAACTTGTGGCGACGAACTTAGACGCCAATCGTTGTACGTGTAACACTGCCTTCCAGTCAACAGACATAAATTGTTTGTCTAAAATTGTTCGCGCATCCATTGTTAGATACTGAAATTTCATATCGTAAGGACTCCCGTCGATTATAAACGACTACAGGTTATGCTAGCGGAGCGCCGCGGCACTGACGAGCTTTACGCCATCAAGATCCTGAAGAAGGACATCATAATTCAAGACGACGACGTCGAGTGCACGATGGTGGAGAAGCGAGTCCTGGCGCTCAGTAGCAAGCCCCCGTTCCTCGTCCAGCTGCACTCCTGCTTCCAGACGATGGTAAGGGACCCTGAAATTTCGACAAATCAAAATATGCAGGGGTCTTACTTTTTCATAACAACAATGATCTCGCGGATTCGTTCACTGCACAACCAATATGAATATCATGTGTGCGATATCTATGTTTACTAAAATATTGTTGAAAACCGTGAGGTCTTTGCGCATGGTCGGAGGTAGTTTATGAGTTTATTTGAATCGAGAGTATCGTTATTAATATTGTTTATCCATTATAAAGATCTCTTAAGGAGATCTGGGGAACCCTAAGCCTGCGTAAAAGTAGAGGCCGTCAGAGAGCAAAGAAGGACGTCCATGACCCTTTGCATAAATACTTGGGGCTGACTGCTAATAGAAAGAAATTGGGAATGTTCGTGATGTTATTTAAATCCGCCCCAAAAATACATTGTGAAGACGACGACGGTTACGAATGACACAAAAAATTAAATGTTGTTGTGTGAAAATAAATGGATGTTGCCGATGTTACCATCGACTTGAACGAATGATACACCGCTTGTTTTTCGTGTCCAGGATCGCCTGTACTTCGTTATGGAGTACGTGAACGGTGGCGATTTGATGTTCCAAATACAACAGTGCGGCAAATTCAAGGAGCCGGTTGCGGTGTAAGTATGTTTTGTAATCACCGTTTAGCGCAAACTGGTCAGTTAGACCCCACACCTCTCGCCCTCCGCTCCCTCAAATTGAATTTAAGTATTCTTTGCCCATAATTACTGTGGTGGGCAGACGCAGCCACTCCTGCTGGTGGTCTTGCGCTTATGTGAAGGGGAAGTTGTCCGGAGGAGTACCACGGCCTCACAAAAGATACTTTCGGGTATCGTCTAGTGATCTTGAAAACCGTGGCACATTTTTTTAAAATTAATAATTAAAAATCCAAGGTTTACGTTGGCATCACCTTTCTATGTCTTTTAAGTACAAAAATATTCAGTAAGCACTCATCACCTAAAATATTTCGGAACCAGTGACATCTCGTAAAATTTAATTTTTATCTTATTGCCTTTTTATGTCTCTATTGACACGGGTCTCGATATAACACTACATAATATACATCTCGACGTAAATCAAAATTAACCACAAATCAACAACTTTCCCTTCTTTCGACACCAAAAGACATCAATCGCCACAATAGCCCAAGAGGTTTTCCCGGGACTTTACGAGGTGTTACAAGTGGCGACACATTTCAGCTTCTACGCGGCGGAGATAGCCATCGGGCTGTTCTTCCTGCACTCGCGCGGCATCGTCTACCGCGACCTGAAGCTGGACAACGTTCTCCTCGACCAGGACGGGCACATCAAGATCGCCGACTTCGGCATGTGCAAGGAGGGCATCACAGGCGACAAGACCACCAAGACCTTCTGCGGCACGCCGGACTATATCGCGCCGGAGATCATTTTATACCAGCCGTACGGGAAGTCGGTCGACTGGTGGGCTTACGGGGTGCTTTTGTACGAGATGCTGGTGGGCCAGCCGCCGTTCGACGGCGAAGACGAGGAGGAGCTGTTCGCCGCGATCACCGACAACAGCGTCTCCTACCCCAAGACCTTGAGCAAGGTGAGTGCCTCTTACTGGGTCAGGTTAGACACTCATTCTTGAGTAGCGTGAGGGCCTCTTAGCAGGTTTTGTTAGGCACTCATTCGTGAGCAGGGTAAGTGCCTCTTGCTAGGTTTAGTCAGACACGCAATCGTGAGCAGGGTATTGCCTCGTACTAGGCTTGGTTAGACACTTATTCGTTAGTTTATAAGTGACGATAACGACCACTCCGAACTAGCAGATGTATTGAACGATCTATTGTGATCCTACATAACTTTGGGTAGTAAATCCCAAAGACCACAGCGCACTACAAGATCTATTGTGGTCCTACATCACTATGACGTGTGAAAGGGGTTGGGTAGTCCTGGACTGATACCTGGACGATCTATTAAGGTCTATCGTAGTCTTATATGACAGTACAAGCGGTTGGTGGCGTGTGGTCTGCAGGAGGCGAAGGACGCGTGCAAGTCGTTCCTCTCGAAGAACCCCCTCAAGCGGTTGGGGTGCGGCAGCCGGGGCGAGGAGGACGTGCGCACCCACCCCTTCTTCAGGCGCATCGACTGGGCCCGGATCGAGGCGCGGGACGTGCAGCCGCCCTTCAAGCCCAAAATCGTGAGTATTGGGGTTGTAACGGGGAGAATAGACAAGCCTTTTCTTGGGCAACGCACGCATGAGCACATGCGCGGCCCTACCCGCTGCGGAGGGCATTAACCATTAATGTGGAGGGCGGGCTTCTGGCTAGCCCACCGGCTCTGCGTCCGATGAAGCTTTAATAGTCTCGGGGCTGAAAGCGTTAACATCAGGTAATACAAGAAACAAGAGACAAGCGTACCTAAGACAAGCTCACTGTGGTAGGACCATGCGACAATGTTCACTGTTACACGAATGGGCAGGTCCGTCCGGGTTAGTACCACGGCCTCACAGAAGACCGGCGTAGAGTGGAAGTGCTACACTTCTGCGTTTCGTCTGAGTGAGTTACGTCGTCGTGAATGCGGTAGCCGGGGCCCACATTATTTAAAGGTGGCAAGGCGTTTGCAACCCTACCGGAGTTGCAAATGTCCACGGACGGTGGTTATCACTCAACATCAGGTAAACCGTCAGCTCGTTTGCCACTTTCTCACATCAAAAATAGACAAACCTTTCCTTAGCTAACGCACGCATGAGCACATGCGTGGCCCTTCCCACTGTGGAGGGCCTGAAACTAGTTCTGCGTTCGATAGTCGCTTTAATAGTCTCGGGACTGAAAGCGTTAACATCAGTTAATACGAGATACAAGAGACAAGCCTTAGATTTTTCTTAGGGAAAGACCTTAGGGGTATGTTGGGGTAGCAAGTCAAGCCTTCGATTTTCCTCGGCGGGGTATCTCGCGAAAGCTTTTGCTTTGGTCATAAAGGAAATGTCAATTCGTTTTTGATAAAATCGAATTATTAATTGAAACTTTACCATGGACTTTTATGTAACTGTTATTCTTGCGCGCTCGGAAATCATGATTGCTTATTATAGAACTCTTCGAACATCAAGCGGTCTCGCGGTGCATAAAGTAAGTTAAAACTGTGTTGTTAAAGCTTACTTAAAAAGATTCAAGTTAAACTTTACTTTGTTACTTTATGTATGTTCAATACGCACCTAGTCGGCTGCAATATTATTACTACTTTATATAGGTAGGGCGAATTGCGATAATGAAACTAAAGCCTTATTCCCCATTCCTCATCTCCAGAAACACCGCAAGGACGTGTCCAACTTCGACAAGCAGTTCACCCAGGAGAAGACGGAGCTGACGCCCACGGACAAGCTGTTCATGATGAACCTCGACCAGACCGAGTTCATGGGCTTCTCGTTCCTCAACCCTGAGTACGTGCAGCACGTCTGAGCGCGCAGGTTCGACACTCTTGACTTCTATACTAGATCTGTCTACCGCGTTCAGGCAAAACTTTGTAAGAAAAAAAAGTAACGCCTTTATATGATTGACCTTCTTGACTTCTATACTACATCTGACTGCCGCGTTTGGCTAAAACTTTGTAGAAAAAAGTAACAGCCTTTATATGACTGACATTCTTGACTTCTAAACTTCATCTGACTGCCGCGTTTGGCTCAAACTTTGTAGTAAAAAAGTAACAGCCTTTATATGACTGACATTCTTGACTTCTATACTACATCTGACTGCCGCGTTTGGCTAAAACTTTGTAGTAAAAAAGTAACAGCCTTTATATGAGTGACATTCTTGACTTCTATACTACATCTGACTGCCGCGTTTGGCTAAAACTTTGTAGTAAAAAAGTAACAGCCTTTATATGACTGACATTCTTGACTTCTGTACTTCATCTGACTGCCGCGTTTGGCTAAAACTTTATAGTTAAAAAGTAACAGACTTAATATGATGATCTAATCATTGATTTTTTTTAGTATTCGTTCAATTTCGCCGCGTGTTACCTTGCCGCGTAAAACCTTACTAAAGTAACAGGCTTTACATGTGTATATTAAACATTAATATGTTCATTCGTTCAATTTCTCAGAAGTCTTGTGTATGTGAAGTAGTAAAAAAGTGAACAGCAGCCCCTATATATGTCCCACTGCTGGGCAAAGGCCTTATCTGTACAGAGATTGGCGGACTTCATATATCTTTAAAACAGTTTCTTTTTTGTCATTATTTCGATAATATAAAAGTTTCCTCATGATTTTTTCCTTCACCGCTGAGCACCTGATAAGTCGGCATGTATAGTTGAGATATTTAAAGACAGTATTATGTTTTGTTAATGAACAATTCGCACTGGTTAGATTAGGTTAGGTTAGACTTTTTAATATGCTTATTTATAGCCATTGAACGAAGCTATATTTTAAAATTTTGTACGAGCTTTGCACGTTACGATGGAAATAAATAAAAAAAAATACTTTTTTCTTCAATTATTTTTATGGGAATGTAGATAAATGTACATCATAAGTATAATAATTATGTCGTTTGTTTTTTATTTCAGTGATACTTCACTCACACTTCTGGAAGCGGCCAGCGCCCGAGTCGACTTACTTGGAACGCGGGCATGTCTCTTCACCAGTCATCTGTCTCTGTCACTCTTACGGCGGCGGTCGTGTGCTGTCTCATTCATCACTTTCCCTGTCCAGTTTGAGTTTCGGACTATCTTAAGGATCTGTGACCAAACTTTTCATCGTGTCTAGAGGAAAATCTTGGAGAGACTTTTCTGAGAATGATCGCTCCATTCTACTCTTTCGGAGTTCACGATTACTCATTTCTTCTGAATATTTTTTTAAATAACATTTATTCTCACTCACCCATCCAATACGACATGACTCTCATCACCTGAATAATTTTATATGCGTTCATTTCGGGCAATAACGTTAGTATTTTATGGCAATCGCGAAATATCTCCACGAATTTTCGAAGCAATATTAAATGATAAAGTACTACGCTTTGTATTAAATGCTCTCTCGAATTTAATCTCTTGTGTAAAAGAAACGTTCGCTTTGTATTATTTTCATGTTTGCTATGTTTTACAGCACCTTTTATAGGAATGACTCCAATGATGGTTTCATATGATATTATATTTTTAAAGGATCTGGCGGCAAAACGTTTCTTTGGTTTAACTTATCGAGTATTTTACCTTTACGATGACAGTTATTATTTGTGTTAGGTTATATTTGATTTTAATATTTAAATAAGAATTTCGGTTTGTCTGGATTTACCGAATCCTAATCTTGGGGCCACGTCTTTGATAATTACCAATGTAAGCGCTACACAATCGCTAATTTAACGAAATATACCATCTGTCATAGTGACATATGAAACAGATTAAAAAACACTATTAAATACGTGATAGCTCAGTGTCCGGGCGCTCGCCTTAATTCAATGTATACTCGAGCAACCTGAGTTCGATCCCCGGTGCCGGCACCAATGAAGTTTTTAACTTTAAGTGCTGAATTATCACGTGCTCCGCGGTGAAGGAAAACATCGTGAGGGAAACCTGCATATTTTCGGAATAATAACAAAAAAAATGTATTTCGAAATATGTGAAGTCCGCCAATCCGCAGTGGGGCCGCGTGGTGGACTATGCCCTGATACCCTCTGTATAGAGGAGGCCTTTGCCCAGCAGTGGGACATGTAAAGGCTGTTACTTTACTTACTTTTAAATACGTAAAAGGAAAGCTATCAAAATTTCACGAGATAAATGTTTTTTAATCTGTCATAATTTTTTTAGAAAACATAATAATTGTGCGTTGCTGACATTTCGCTATAATTTTGTACACACATATCAGTGTTAATTGTAATTAGAATAGTTATTGTACGTCGTGTCGTGTGGATGGTCGAAGATTGTTAGCTCTACAACTAGATTGTTTTTACCTTGCTACAAAACAACTATTCTATTCGGATCGACTAAGTTGAGCGAAATATCTCTTTTAAAATATTTAAAAGTTAAAAGTTTACAACATAATTTCTCACTTCTTAAGTCCATATGCGGAAGCTTTCTTGTTGTATTTTTTTTTTGTTTTAGCGCCAAGTAACCTATTTTATTACGAGCTTCTTAGAATCTCCATACTTCGTTACCGTATGAATCGTTGACAATTCTTATTATTTTTATAATTATTCTTCCCATGAATAGATTTAATCATTTTGGCAATTTTTAATCAAGATAATTTTTTACTGGAGACAATTGCATGGAAGATGTGGAAGCCATTTTCTCTTTACCCTCCAAGACTTCTCCGTACAATTGTTTCCAGCTGTTCTAATTAAGTTGAATGTTTAAAAATTTTTTTATCCCTTTATTTATTTTATAATCTATTAAGTTTTAGTAGTCTATAGTGTTACGTTTTTGTTTTTTATGCATTTAAGGTTAATTGATACTATTGGCATTAATACATGTGTGCGTGATGTATGATGTAATCATGCATTTTATGAGCTTGTTGTCAACTGAAGTGTTTGTTGTATCAGTGTGTTTGTGTGAGAACGTGTGTGTGCGATTCTCGATCGCTTATTTTTGTAGTGTGCTTAAACGAAATATTGTTTTCTTTTCAAAAGTATATAGACATTGTTTCAATAAAATATTGTTTTAGTCTTATTTTTGACATAGTTAAAAAATTTAACAACTTAATAACTGTTGCTTTAAAATCATATATAAATGTAAAAATCATATATGAATATGAACTTTTATATATGTTAAAGGTTACTTTCTTATCTTGCGTTTAAGCACATTACAAGCTCAAATGGCTTTCGGTTGTCATTAATCGTTTAATAAAATAGCCTTACTAACTTAAATTTATAAAGTCGTTATTAAAATAAAATGGTAAATATTAAAAAAAATATTGTACACTCTTTCTAGATTAAATCGATGTGAATTTAAAGATAAAATGAGAAAGCATTGGATTCTAAATTGAAATGTAATAAAATGACATTTAAGTGTTCGTTCTTAATATTGGTAAGAGAGCGTGAGCGACTATTTTATTGGAATAGTGGAGTTTTAAAAAACATATTTTTTTTTAAATATATATTTCAACTTTTACATATGCCCTTTATGTTTGTATCATAAAAGAGATAATTTTATTTTTAATCCTAAAGTTAAATCCAGATTGTTTCTGAATTATAACTTTGTACATAGCCCAAAATTTTCTATTAGTTAATGAAAAGCTATTTCAATAAAATAGTCAATAGTAAATTATGTTAAAAGCGACGCGGTCGCATTATCACGTCATATTTAGAATTTTTAATTCTCTCTAGAGTTATCACTAGGAATAGTAGTATGCTGGCTCATTTCGTGTTTTATATAATCTGTTGCCGCCAACTTTTACCACTGGTAAAAGCTGACAAATGCATTCAACTTGCGACGTTGCACTTGAATTTTTTGAAGACACGGGCGAGACATTTTTTCAAATTTAACAGTTAGCAATGGGCACTGTCTATAAACTGTCTTACGCCCGGTTTCTGAAAGACTGTTCATCATAGAAGTAAAACAATCACCTGTCAAATGGATTTTCAAATGTTATTTGTGTTGCCAAAAGGATTGTTAAACTCTCTGAATTGATTAGAATGATCTTGTAAATGATAAAGAATGATCAATTCAAAGTGTTTAACAATCCTTTTGGCAAATCAAGTACACTGTATCATCAGTGACAGCTGATTGGTTGACTTCTACGATGATCAGTGTTTTAGACCGGGCGTAAGTACGGTGTTAATATATGAGCCAGCAGCGTAACTTAAGTCAGCTGGAGAGGGATTCAATGTAGCGAGCGGTAGCAGCGCCCCCTGACTTCGCGCGCATTGTCAACTCAACATGCACATGTGCGCAAACATTGTCAACTCAACATGCACATGTGCGCAAGCATTGTCAACTGAACGTGTACATGTGCGTACGCATTGACAACTCAACATGTATCTCTTTGGTAATGCACACGGCACTATCCAAACGCTTAACGCACTGTCCCATACCATCCTGAATTGTGAGTATTGTTGCATAGGCTAACTCGACAATATGGCGAACAAAAAACTGTTTTTTTTTGTCCTGATGATAAATAAATATTGACTTTATTAACTTAATTTTTTTAATTAATTTTGTTAATTAAATTTAAGAAGTAGTACACTTTATATTGTGTTATGGTAAATATTTATAATGAGACAGTTGATATCAAACTTTTAAAACTGTTAACCGATGTATGCAACAATATTTACAATATGGAAACTCCCAACAGAAAATTAGTCGTGTAGAGTATAAGTGCTATGGTTTTAGAAACACCTCATTCAGATTGCTAAATTTTACATTGAAATTCCATAAGTAGATATTAATTATAAGTATCTACTAACAATAAGAGATATTATATCGCCACTATACTGAAACTGTAAACACCAATCTCTTAAAATAATGTTAGTAACGTAAACTTTTACTGCTATTAAGTAGTGTTGCTAGCTTATTAGCTCTTAGCCCTTATAAAATAAAAGAAAGATAAAAAGGAATTAATGTGTTGTCTAAAAGGTAACGCCGATAGTGAATTTTAGATGTTTTCTTCTGCAGTATAAGCTTAACCAGCATTTTGACACTGTGGCTAAGGTCATAATAATAGAAGTTTATAAAACTCTCCCGTATTATGTCACGTTACTACTAAGATCTCACTTATATATAAGAATAAAGGAAGTTAACAAGATGTCCTATATGAAATTCTCGTAAGCACCGTTTTTTAACTAATCTATTGGATTTCTATTAATAACTTTAATGATATTTGACTTTTTAAAGTAAATTTAAGCGAAATTGCTTGTATTTACATATTGTTTCGTTCGATAGCGGGTGGTGACAGACAAAAGTAATTGGAAGTTTCCCGCCCTAAAAACGGCTGGCTTTAAACCATTATATACCTAGATCCTAAAGTAACGTTCATGATTAATATATTTTTTTTTAATTTAAACACCCAATTTTGAAGGCCACACGTGACTATCTTTTTTAATTTAATAAAAGAAGTTTTAAGATAAAACTTGTTTGCTAAGTCACTTTTACAGATAATAAAGTAATTGTGTATGTTAAGTTTTACGTGCTTTAAATTGTAACGACGGCTTTCCTACCAATGTTTTAAGTATTTTATTTTATATTCAGTATTTTATGTCGAATTACCTTACCTATGTTCAGTTTTAATAAAAGTGTTCAGTGAGATTTTTTTTAAATACATTGATATTAATAATAGACCATAGATTAAAAATGTAATTACCATTATATTGAACTGTGTACATCTACGTACACTATTATTTTAATATTTAAGGTGTTACCGTTATAAGGTTTGCTATAATTAATCCGTAATATTCATTTTCCCTTAAAAACCCTTAGATTAAGCAAGGAGCCATTAATCCTGATGCCTCATTAAGTCATAGGCCTAAACTCATTTTTCTTAGACTAAGCCCGTAGTTAATACAGGATTTAACATACTTTTTACTAATACGATAATTAAATGAAATAATTAAAACATTTCGTTCATAATGTTCTCGAAGACCATGCACGACGCCTGTGCCAAAATATATATTTGTAAATATTTTTTCATTGTATTAGTGAATTACTGTATCAATCGTTTTCGAGTTACCAATTGTGTGATCGTTGCTAGTGGTTTATAAACGGAAACGATATATTTACCACGTTTGCCATTAATTATTCATAATCGAAGTTATTTTAAGGTTATGTTTTTAGAATATTTATTTTTACAATTCTATTCCACGTTTTTTTTTTTTTACGATTTTTTTTTGTGAAAATTTTAATGAGCACAGAATTCCACTAGCAAGGATAATGCCTTTTTGAAATTATTAAAAATTTGTAAACTTTATTGCACTTTTCTGCAAAATTTTAATGCCAGTATTCGTATGATAAAATCGCCCTAAATATTTATGTACGCCTCATGATGACAATTATATAAAAATCCCCATTTTGTCACCAATGTTCCATTGTTTGACAACATCAAAAGGGTGTGCAAATCTCGTACCGCAATAATTTAAGTGCTTAATTAAAGTTTAACACAAAAAGTTCGATAAAATTTTAACATATTTCGTAATTTAGGCATGTCTATATATTCTCACTGTAACAACTGTCTCTGTGATATAACTATCTTCTCGCCTGTCATGTGACGGAGTTTTGCGATTATCCGCAAGTTGCCTCGAAAGGATCACAGAAAAATACATCACTCTACATTATTTTCCAAACATGTGCCAAAAGAATACGTATGGAGTTCGTGCGTCTATATTAGATTTAGAAATGGATGTTTAAACCTATTTTCAATGTTCAACATTAAGGCACTTTTAAAATCATTCATTGAAAGAACTTTAGTGAAATTTTACCAAATTTAAAAGGTTCAAAAGCTGCAATGAAAATATATTTACAACTAGTTATTTGCGTAAATCTCGAAATTCCGTCACGTGACAAATTATATTTAAAAAAATGAAAAGAATCGATGTGCACTTTTATAATAACAACAGTATCGCCTTTCACTAGATTTATAATTGGAAAGTTTTTTAGCCTTATGTGACGATTATGCGCGGAATATCGCCAATCGGCAAACTTCCCGTTTCAACAAAACTCCGCGTCTGATCGTTATGTGTGATTTTCTCGCGTATTTTTATTATTAATATCGATAATGTAGCTACAGTATTTCGATTTGTAGTATTAGATTCGTCATTTTCAAATGTAAACTCGTCATTTTACGGTTCGCGGGTGACTTCTTTGTCGTTGAATGTCGCGTCGACCCCTCGGGGTCCGTAGGATGTTTAGGGTTCTCGATGCGGATGTCGATTGTACTCAATAATATAAATTTCTAAATCATTAGACTCCTCCCGTCTTTTATTTATCAACCCATTCCCCAAAACAGGGCCGTAGAGGTCTGGAGGCCCCCTGGCCCCAAATTATTTCCAATAAAATGAACAATTTTTTTCAGTCGAGTGTTCCAATAAATAATTTATTGTGAAACCAAGTAGGTAAAGGTAAAACGCGAAATATGAAAGGAAAAGTTGTTTACTAGTGTTTACTAGTCTGAATTTGAAATTTTTTTTCCGAAGTCGTCTATTGTGGAGGACCCGGGGCTGAAGCCCCAGTTGCCCTCCCCTAAGTCCGGCCCTGCCCTACATCAATGTCTCCCGTCGAAGGAGTTATCAAACGACATATTGATAAAGATTTTCCCACGGAATAAAGAAAACCGTGGATCTGACGACTTGTTTGATTTAAACCCAGTTTAAATATTATATCTAAAATAGATTTGGTTACTGGAGACTAGAATTTTGAAGTAAAATTATGGAGCTAAGTCAAATACCTATCGCTAGTAACCAAGTCTATCTGGATAGAATATTTAAATCGGTCATTGGTTGATAGACAGAGGGTGTGTGTACGATCCCTTTACTAGCAAAATATATTTCTGGTTGCTTAAACTTTTACAATATTCATTAATTTTAAAAATAAAAATGTGTTTTAAAGTAAGTTTATAAGTAAAATTTAATTTTAGTTCCATTACATACATACGTATTATACATGAGCAAATTTCGTAATAGAAAACCGTCAACAAGTTTATAATTTAATCTCCTCACCCCTCATGACCTGGCTCAACATTTGATTGCATAAAGCCGCGTATGGATTCATTTCGACGACCTGGAAAAAAAATTCAGTCCGTCGTCATCGTTCAGATACTTTTTTTAAAATTAAAACAACTCGAAAGCTTTCAAGCGTAAAACGCACAAATGAGAGCGACCAACTGAGACGCTGTGAACTTCTTATACGGGAAAGTTTATGGTGATCCCTGAGAGTCGAAGCTGTAAGCTCTAAGTGCTCCAGGTTCGTCGCTTTTTCCTTAAAAAAAAGCTATAGCACGGCTGTACCGTGTGGCATGAATGATAGATCCGTTAGCTGTTGCATGAATGGGCAGCCTCGTCTAGTACATGCCACGGCCGCAAATACGCTAATTCCAAGGTGAAGTCAAAGCATTATATTTGACGTTTCGTCTGATCATGCGGCAAAAGGGACCTACACTTATAATTGGCAACGCTTTTGCAACCGCGCCAGTTGTAGGTGCATGGGTAAACTGCCTGCTCGAAAGAAATGTCTTTCCGCTTCGGTTTGTCCAAAAATCAGTGCCGGATTAACCACTTAGCAAGAGTATTGCTACGGGCCCCGCGCTAAAATGGGCCCCGCATATTTAAACCCAGTCATCGCTACCTGAGCCCTAATTATTTGAGTGAAATTTATTAAAAAAAGTAAGAGCATTGAATTGTTTTTTATCACTTTATACTTAAGAACACATAGCTGATGAAGGGATGTTTGAAAGACTTTGCTACGGGCCCCGCGCTTGCTTAGTCCGGCACTGACAAAATTGTCTGTTGAACACACCCTGTATAAACTACAGCATGACACGAAACACACAGTACAGTTAGTTTACCTGTTTCTTGGCGAAACCGCTGCCCAACTTGGCTGCCTCCGTGAAAGCCGCCCGTGCTCCTTCGGCCGAGCCGAGTTTGCGCAGTAGCACCCCCCTTTGGCAGAGGGCGAGCGCTCTGGCCCTCGTCCTCCTACCCTCGGTCAACTGAATGACGCGCTCTAAATCCGACATGGCTTCTGATAAAAAATAAAAAATAAACGATTAAGAGCGAGTCGAACTCGTACGCCGAGGGTCCCGTACCTACCCATTATACCGCTATAATATAATTGCTAAATAATCACCACCGATTTTCTCAGGAAAACGGTTGGACTTAGCAAGTTGAAATTTATACGGTAGTAGTGTTTTATGACAACCAATAAGTAAGTGTAATAAATACTTCTATATTGAATAAAGATATTTGAATTTGAAAAAAATTGAATCATCAAATACTATCGACCCAAAACCTAAAGGGTACCGTACCTCCGGTTGACCTAGAATTTGCAATTTTGGTTAAAAGCAAGGTCTTACAGCACAAGTAAAGGTAAAAATTCCGAAAAACAAAAACAGTTGAAAATTAAGGTAAATTTTGGTACTTACAACTTTTCGCGAATATCTAAATTTGCCCATATCTTTTTATTGTATTGACTCAGGACCTTGATTTTTACACCTAATAGGGACTATAGACCTCATTATCTGGTATAAACAACTTGCTAGGTCCACCCATTCCTTAGAAAATAGGTGGTGACACACGGACAGACAGACGGACAAAAGGGTGATCTTATAAGGGTTCTGTTTTTTACATTTTAAGGTACGAAACCCTAAAAACGCCTTGTGAATGAATGACACTGAGGGAATCGAACCTGAATCTTCTAGGTAACACAGACGCTTTACCAAATTTTAAGAGGAAAGGCAACATCTCACGTTACAAATGTTCACCGTTAATGTTATTTGTACAGTGTTTCGTACTGTAGTGTTCACACTAAATGGCGCTAAGCAATGCAGTCTATTATATATTAGACGGTATTATAGTATACTACAGTCTCCGGAATACTGACGGGCTAGCAACTCTACACCTGTGTTCAGACCTGGGCAAGGCTTTTATGTAAAGCATGTTCCTAAATCTACTTTCAATATGGAATATAGAACTTCTAAATAAGTTTCGGTGTCTTTATATCAACGCGGCACTGTTACTCTATTTAAATAACAGTTCGTGAAACCGTCCAATCGATGACTCGGTGCCGCAGTTGCTAAGCTATATAGTTGCTAGGCTTCGACGACGGCGGTCCGATAAACATTGCTACCCACAGATGCATTGTTCCCGATCTGGGTGGTTATTTCCAGGGGTAGGGTTGGCAGGCGGGCGGTCGTAAAAGAGATAGCCAATACCATTAACAACATGATCTGCCCCGAATGGCGTAGTGGGTAGTGTATCCGCCTCCTGCGTCAGAGGGTGTGGGTTCGATCTCCACTACGGGAAAAATATTGTGCGATAAACATGGTATTTTTCTAGTATCCGGGTGTTTACACATGTATAATATGTATTTATTTACAAAAGAAAAGTATGTTTAAGTTTTATTAATCTCTAATAAACATATTTATCAGTTATTTAGTACCCATAGTACAAGCGTTGCTTAGTTTGGGACTAGAGAACGTTGTGTAAAACGTGTCCTAATATATCTATTTATTCACGCCCACCTATGTGGGATAAGGGGAGGAGACCGGAGACATTGATCCGGTGTGAAAAAACCATGAAAGCCTCACCGCTGTCCTTCAGCATTAGACGTAGTAGCTGTGCCCTGTCGTTGTAAACGGACGCCCTCTCGGGGGCTGCTGCCACGGCCTCGTTCATCAGCTCCAGAGCCTCCGTCAGCTTTCCTGACTCGGCCAACTGCATCGCCCGCAACGTGAGCATTCTCGACTCCTCGTGCGCCGGTGATGCGGGCTCTGATGATGGGACGCAGAGTAAAGTATCAGGCGATATAAGCCTATACATGTCCCACTGCTGGGCAAAGGCCCCCTCTGTACAGAAGGTATCAGGGCACAGTGCGCCACGTGGCCCCACTGCTGATTGGCGGACTTCACACACATTTTTTCGAAAACATGCAGGTTTCCTCACAATGTTTTCCTTCGCCGCCGAGCACGTGATAATTCAGCACTTAAAATTAACAAATTCATTGGTGCCGGCACCGGGGATCGAACTCAGGTTGCTCGAGTATATTAAATTAAAGGCGAGCGCCCGGACACTGAGATATCACGGCTATATGGGGACGCAAGTGAATGGGCAATTTTCTCGTCTCGTCTTCGACCGAAGCTTTACATGACTAGGGCCGAAATTATAAAGGGAGTTCAGGAATACTCGGAATAAATAATGAATAATATGCTTTTAGGGTAAGATGTGTTTCAATCTGACAGGCTAGTTCTGGGATTACGACACTTGCATAGTATTTATAAAACACTAGCTGATACCCGCGACTCTGTCCGCGTACATAATTACCCGTTTTGAGAAACAACCGCTTGCCCCACAGCTTATAAAAGTCGTTGTTTCTTAAAACTTTTTAAACTTTACATTAATTATCACAAGAGAAGAAGATTATTTTTAAAAACGGGAAAAGTCTGAAAAAAAACTTAGAATAATTAATATCTATCCAGTATCTTGTTCGTATACAGCGGCAGATGTCTGTCGTTTTATATAGGTTCTATAATTATATCTTGATAGAATCTTCTGAACAAGTTGCATAACGTTTAATTCCAAATTAAAATTTCTGACTTTCAAACATTACACTTATTTTGATCACTGGAGATTTGATTTGTGTTACTGCTTTCACAGTTACCCCTACTATAATAGGCAGTATTCGCACAAATAAAATACATTAAAAGGCATCTAAAACTGGCTTTTTATAACATACGTATAGAAACATATGAAGAGACTTATTTTAAGTTACTTAAATCATCTTCCCCCTGAAAGCGTATTATGTGAAAATATAGGTCAAATACATTATTACGGTTTTCTTAATTATGAAATGTTTTTAACGATTCTAAATTAGCCCTAGTAAAAATATATAACAATGTTACCCAACATTAATATTCTATTTTATTGGTGTAAACATTTTATTATCGTTATAATATGCATACTATGTAAATAAAATGTTAATATCTGTACGATTAAGATCAAGAATAAATTAGATGAGATGTTATCAAGCCGGTGAAGTAATCGACCCCTTCAACTAAACTATTTGTTTCGTAATAGACAATCTTAAACAGATATTTCGACAGTGTTCAAATGATTAAAATCTTTATTTTAAAAACGTTTTAATTATGATTTAAGTTAAAATTTAAAGTTACATCCTGTACATATCCCACTGCTGGCCAAAAGCCTTCTCTTCACAGAGGGTATTAGGGCATATTAGACCACGCGACCCCACTGCGGGACTTTCATTGATAACGGTACCGGGGATCGAACTCAGGTTGCTCGAGTATATTAAATACTGAGCTAACACGATTCCAATTATGATTGGTGACCGTAAATTAATATACTGTAATTTTATTCTTTAATGATTACTTGGAATTGACACGAATAGACGACGGTGCGCTAATTTGTTTTTAAATTCCCAAAACAACTAGGCCTGTCTCGTGACCGTGAATAAGAAATGTTGGCGAGGTTTAAAGCAAATTACTTACAATCCGTAATTCGTTTTCATTACAATTCTTCTCTTTTATAGCAATTGGGCATATTGTGTTTTGGTTAAAAACTAAAGACATTATTTACAAAAGTAACAAGTAAAAATGTAACATTTTTCTCCAAAATTAAAGTTTGATTAAATTCGTATAAAGTAACGTACTTTTATTTTCAATGCGTTGCGAATAAATCGATTATTACTGACTGTAGCTTCTCGCCTTTTGATTCCTAAACAAAAATAATTATCAACATTTAAGCGATTGGCGATACTCCTGTCTAAAATTTCCAAGCCTACCTGACTCCTCATCAGGGAAGTTGTCACCATCTTCAACGACGTCGCCTATTGTCGCCGTTGGATCGAATATGCAACGCAGAACCGCCTTGTCTCGCTCACTCAGATTATCCAAGGCAGCCATTGTTTTTTTTTGCGCGTGAAACTTGTGAACCGGAACGTTGTCGCAGTCCCACTGAGCCGAGAATGTTCGCAAAACTAGTTTATCGAGCCTGTTATTTGTTGTTGGTCTCGTATAAAATTACATGAATATTTAAATAAATATCGGCGTAAGAAACAGAAACACGCAACTTTGTTATGATTAAAGAAAATTGCGGTCAAAACAAAATTAGGGTTGGTCAGAGGTTGGGTCTGGAACCAATTTAGGCCTCAATTTTTTGGTCCTTTATTATCATGAGATTGATACATATATAATAATGCCCCCTGCCCAAATTGCTTGAAAATGCGAAAACACGTTGTAGATTGAAGACGTTGAAATTTTCGTCGAGGCGGGATACAGCCTTAGTGGTTAGCGTCTGGGCGCGAATCCGGAAGACATGCGTTCAATTCGCGCATCATTCACAGACGAGAAACTTTTCAATCCTTTTTTTCTATAAATTTTAATGTTACATGCATTTTTTAAGTTTCCAATCGAAAAATAAATTCGCGACTTACATCTAGGTTTCCTAAAGTATTCTTTGTATTTTAACCACTGCGCTGTATTACTCTGACGCTGCATTCACGCTGTAACGCCCTATTAATAATAATAAAAATTATTATTAATTAATCATAATTAAGATGAAAATAAAACGTTTAAGAACGTTTAATCACAATAACAGTTAATAATATATACTTAAATTTAAGAAATATAAGTGTTAGTATGAAAAAATGATATTATCAAAAATTGATAAAAAAATAGTTAAAAATCACTTAAAATACTCAAAAAAGGATATTTATTAAAAAATTAGCAAGATACGATCACTATTATGTCCATTAAATACAATTCCATACTTATTGATTTCTAAGGGAAGTATTATGTACCGTGCGGGGACACAATTGTATGATCGTACATATATAAGTACAGAGGTCGATCGCGACTCTTAATACTATAGTCAAAGTACATTGTATGAACGTCCCATACTAATATCACATGGAAGTAAGGTCTAATGGATAAAAGTAATAATATGTGAAGGCTCAGAGAAAAAATAATAAATATATAAATATAATGAAGAGCAATGAATGACTTGGGACTTTATAAGAGATATTACTATGGAGTTGCATGGTACTTCTGTACGACGATATGGTCTACGGTAAACGTGGAACCATGAATGGATATGTCTTGAGTGGGGGACATATCATCGATAGCTGGTGGTAGTTGGCGTCTTAGTGTGTTGCACTATGATACATCGACTGATCATCTGACTTTGGGGAGTCTGGTGGTGGCTTGCGTCTTAGTGTATTCCACTATGATACGTTGGCTATTACTTGGCTTGGGTGGGGGTCCGTTGGTGGTTGGCGTTTTAGTGTTTACGCTATGATACGTCGACTATCATTCGGATCGTGAAAGAGTATGTTTGGACACTTCGTGTGTTCCGAGTATATTCTAAACTTTGGAGCCGAAATTGATTGGAGTTATATTGGTGTGGTGTGAGGGTGTGACACCTACGTGATAGTCACATTATTGCATGCGGCTATATGCAGTACTGCGTCTTGTGGTAGTTGCGGGGTGATCTGCGCCCAATATCATTGCATCGTATGATTCTGGTTGACGGAGGTTCGAGGTGATGATGTCTGCTGTGTATGCGGATAGGCTGTATGTTGGCGTGTTGACCTGCGATAGTTGTATTGATGCATGTTGCATTTAGTGACATTGCGTCTTACGACATTTGCTTGGGAGACGACGCTATTCATAATGGCCGAGTCTGCGTCTCGGTTTGATGCACATCTCAGTAGATTTGTCCAAGTCGGGTTCCTGATGACGGAACTGCAGACTGTCTGACCTCCTGTATACGTTTTAACATAATTAACGAATCTCAGTAAAGTTAAAAAAAAATACACTATACTCAACGTCAGAGACACTGACAAATAAATATATGTTGCCAATTATAAACCCTTCTGATGGCTAAACATAAAAATCACAACTATGGCTATATCTGACTATTTCAATGGTTGGTGGAGCATATGCGTTTACCTCATGTGGATGGTAGCTGGCGGGAGAAAACCTCTCAAGGCTGCGGTGATGCCGTGCAACGTTTTAACCATACCCTTGGGGTGAGCAGTGACTCATAACGCGCTCTGCGACGAAATGTCGTGCTAACCTTTTTAATGGTGGTGATGCCAAAACACTAACAATCACGCCTGCAGTCGCGGCAGTCTGGCAAAAGTGGTGGCGCTTACGGAGGGCTTATTATATCATAGGGCCTGAGTGCCTGATCTTTAACACATGCCCAAAACCGTATTGACGTACATTCACGAAGACTGGATTTGTCGTCGGCTTGTATGACGTTTACACGCATTGACATGCGCGACTACGGTCAAAGTTTGTGCTTACGCATTGCCAAGGGGCCAAGCCCTCTTTATGCTGGTAAAACAGCTTTGCAATGGACTTCGGTCCTTTCCCCAACTTTTTGTCCCTCTTCTGGGGCGGAGGGTGGGGGGCGCAATATGTTGGTTGGCGCTCACCGCACACGGCGTTGGTGAGTGTTTTCATGGAGCCGTGTGTTGTAAATTATATTGTGAGCCCTTTACAAGCGTGAGAGGGAGTATACTATATACTCTGAGCCCGTCTCAAGCGAGTCGGGATTAGTTAATAAGAAAGCAATCTGGCATTATCGTTGGCTTATACCACGACTAGTGAATATTTATCTATCCAAGATACACCTAAAAGAATCAAGTTACTAAATAAACACAACGTAAATGAGGTCCTACCGAACATGACGATCACAATAATATTTCATACGGCTATTTATAATCTTTAGAAAGATCATATAGAAAGATCAATAAATTATCCTGGTCACGTAATGATGTTATATGATTTATTCGTATAACGGGGCAGAAATATATGTAAGTTTAATTATATATATGCATAAAGGGGGGCTACAGTTACAACGCGTACCGAGCTCCTTGCTAATCACTAACCGAAACCGCTTCAAGTATTCCAAAGCCGATATTAGCGTCGAGCAACTATCGCCATATGGAATATGGCGAACGCAGAATTGCATCGTGATCTAAAAATAACACCTCTGTCCACCTTCTTCAAAGAAGCGTCGATAAGGAACTTTAAAGTAATACCCATATAAGTTCGTTATTTAAAATTTTCGAACGCTACCCCGCACACCTGAACCGTGCATCCGAGATTACGCCAACCTATGAATATAATAGACATTATATTATTAACTAGCGCGATAAAGGGCCTGCCCACAGTCAACAGTCCCCTGCAACAGTCTTCGCTGTACCACGACCTCACAGAAGACCGGCGTGAAGTGTTAGTGTTATAATACCTACTGCGTTCCGTCTGGCCGGATTTCCCACTTGATTAAAAGGTGGCAACGCATATGCAACTCTGCGGGTGTTGCAAATGTCAATGGGCGGCGTTTATCACTTAACATTAAGTGAACCGCCTACTCGTTTGCCACCTTCTCACATAATAATAATTTTATCCTCCCGCCGCTGCCCCACAGTGCGTCGTCTGTTATGCCCGGTGATTCGTTGAATATAGGAAACGGGCATTAGACGAGGCGGCAGAGGCCTGAACGTTACCTTCCGCCGATACCTCACCGCGACACGCAATACATACATAACACATACATGGCTCAGTGCACTCGACGGTGAGTACGAGGTCCCTGATTCGCAACCTACCCACGATACACTCATGTGCCTAGCTGCTTTAACCCCTTATACTTACGTAGTATTGCTACTTTAATTGCGTGTACAAGCGATCGTTCTGAAGTTGCGTAATTAATTGTATTTTTTTTATTTTAAACTTTATGCAGCGAAATTTATGCGTTCAAGTGTTGCCAGTTAAGGCAAAGTTTGCTAATTAATAGAAAACTATCGCGTAAAATATTCGACGTTGTTTTGTATGGAGTAAAAAAAAATAAATGGACACCCCTATCACTACTACGCGTTGCTGATTGCTGGACTTTTTTTTTACATTTGCCGAAAGGCTATAATCAATACGCTGTATTTGGCGGCAAAACCCAATGATGTATTAATAAAGATGACGTATGTACTGCGCGGCGCTATAAAATCTCGGATATTTTTTTTCCTTTTTTGATTCCTTATATTATTATATGACATATACTAGTGAATGCAACAGATGATATAGAACGTATGATACGGAAAGAGAAAGCAGTCAACGGAGTTGCATTTGACGTACGCTAGCCATAGATAGTCAGACCTACATATAATCGGTGGCCTAAAGGTCCTTGATACCAGGCCATAAAATCCAAAAAAAAACATATTATAAGAGCGAACAGAAGAGAAATTAAACCAATTCCCGTAATATGAATGCCACAACTTCAGCGAGGTAATGTCATATCTACCTCGTATATCATCATTGGCAAAACCGAAAAGAAAACAAATATTTTTAACAATTTTTAATTATGTTCCTGGGTTAGAATATAAATTGATAAATCTAATATACCTTACGAATTAAGATACAGACGGGGTCTAGTCGGTTTATTATATTAACTAATAAGGTTTTAAATGACTTCCTCATCATACGTCTGTCATGGAACATGACGCAATAGTTCTCATATCAATAGGAACCACATGTCTAATAAAAATAAGTATTTACTATGTCAGGGCTCAGATGCAAAGAATAATAAAGCTAAAATATAAATTGAAAAATTTGGATTGCTTTATAGGTTAAAATAAATCGTTAAGGATATGAAATATATGCCGTGTAAACTGTATATGTATCAATACACTATGCCAAACAAGGCCAGTTACAATGGCACCTCTACATTTTGCAATAACTTGTGTTTGTCTATGTGGAATTGGCACAAATTTATATTGGCAATACGTCCAAACAATCCATGAGGCTTATAGATAGGCATAAGACAAATGGTACATGAACACAAGAACAAATATATCTATAATATCATTTGAGAAATCAATGTTAATACACAAACGGTGCATTTTGTATCTGGATAATACCAATGGTAATATATCCGCAAAGAACATTAATTATTTCAAACCAACTTTAACAAGTATACAATTTGACAAATATTATGAACTGGCAGAGAGAGTAATAATTTTGACAGGTAAAACATCTAATTGACTGTAAACATGCAATATTTATAATTTGAACTACTCAAGTTTTAACTGCTCGAGAAATTATTTACATTGGCACAAAACTTCTTCATACATTTCTCTACACTGAGCCGAATTTACAATAATTAATCAAATATAACTACAATATCGGAAACTTTCCTTAAATAAAATTTATTACAACAAATTTTCATATGGTGGAAGTACTAACTCCTATAACGAAACTTAATACATAATGTGTAATGCGTTTACATTTCTATTATATATATATATATATATATATATACACAAGTACTTTCTTAAAAACGGTCATGATGTAAAAATATATCTTAGTCATCGTAAAGATAAAATTCCTATTTACAAAAATAGGTGCTATAATATTTATAAACTTGTTAAGCTCTCAGTAATAGAAAAAACGGGGTTCGCTAAAAACCATATGAAAAAAAAGTGTAACATAAATGACACATCTAGATAGTTAATTTATAAAATCTTTGGAATATTATGTGCTTCAAAATTAAGTTCCATCTTGGAAATTGTTGTGTAAAATAAAGTATTCCAATAGCTAAATAGCATGTGTGCGGATTCCCTCCTTAATAAGTATAAATGCATTGTTCACACAACACAAAACATTGTAACATTGTGTATGCCTAAGGTAGGTCCTTTTATAATGAAAAGAATGGAGAATGTAGAATAAGAAAAGTCCATATTTGGACTTGATTTAAAAGATTTTCAAAAAACTTTCATTATGCCAATATCAAAGACATAAACCATTCTTAAGACACTCTATTCCACCAATAGTATGAAAGGGGCAGGATAAAATAACTGTCTTAACTTTAAATGGTCAATGAAAATTGGAATTTACAAATCATTTTTGTATTTTCACATACAATTTTTTTCACTATAAAAAATGTATGACGTTTCATCTCAAATATTTCGAATCCTAGTGGACTAGAACATTTTATATTGGGGTATAATTAGCATACACAATGTAAACATTGTTTGTTCCATAATAATAGACTTAAGCTAAATTAATAGCCATAAATCTTGTTATAACTACTCACAGACATTAGAATAGTTAAGGTTTGCAACAAGATAATTATTTTCTATATCACAATCCTTAGAATTCTCTTAGCTTACACATTAGTAGGCATTGTTCAATTAAATTTATTAGAAACACTAAATAGGAGGTAATTTTTTGGGATTTACCTTTTCTTTTGTTAAAAAACAAGCAACATAGCCTGTTCAAATGCTTTATAACTTGATAGTTTATAAATCTAATAAACATAATTGAAACGAAAGCCAACCCACTGTTTTTCGCCAAACCGAGGTAACACCCATCTGCTGTGCTCACGGATTGAATCTCTAAACAACCATTCTATTTTAGCAATTGAACATTTTAACTGAATTAGTGGCATTTAGTAAGTTTTAATAAAAACAACCTTGATATTATGAATACTAAAAGAGAAGCAAACAAAGCAACAGAACCTGGTGCCAAGTTTAAAATTTGTGTAACACAAACGGCAGACAATAATATGAGCACAACAATGGATTTTAAATAAAACTTTCCAAAATGACAATAGTCAAAGTGTTATCACTAAACAGTTATCAAGAAATAGCTTAAAACAATGTAACATACACAGAAAACTAAAAATAAGTTTTAAATATATACTGCCCTAATATTGATTTTTTTATGTAATATGTTTCAGATTGAATTCGCATAATCTTAAAGTAATAAATGACTGTAACCATGTTTCAGAACCCCTTGATATATTATGGATATATGTTGAATTAAATTTTGTTTCATTTTTATTTTCCATATATAATATAAATATTTACAAGACTTGTACTGTCCATGAAAACACATCTTTAATTGAAATTTGACAATGTCGCATTTTCAGTTCGGCAATGTCGTAAAAGTTAGGTAGCAATTCATCATACTGGAGACATTTTGTATACTAATGAAACAAAATTTTGTGTTATCTGCGAAACTGCGAGTTATAGAACTCATGTTCCACGTTTTTCTCCTTTACAATGTTTGAACATACCCCATAATTAAAGTTATGGGAATTCAATAATAACATGTTGTATGGTCATAAAACTAAATAAATATTAATGGGTAATAAAGATACATATCTACAAATTGTTCAAGTTTCAGACAAGGGTATTGTAGAACATTCGATTGATTGAATACTCATGAATGGGATCAATTGCGGCAATACTTAACAAAGGGTCTTAGAACATTGAATCAATTTGTGAAAGATCCAATTTAAATCTCCACCTAGGCAACTCGTTCGATGGCTAGAACTATACAAATATTAAAACATTGTATCTCTACAATATCTTTGTTCCCCATATGAGCACTCTTATTTTACTAATTATATTTCGCTTCATAATCTCTAAATTTCTTACTATTTTAATAAAAAAAAACAGATAGCATTATCGGTTAATTCATTAAACACCAAAGATGTACTTATGAAAATTGTTGATGGATTTGTTTTTAATTGAATTAATAAATGCTAAAAGATAAGAAATATCAAACAAGATTTGTTAACAATTAGTGCAAACATTGAGACATACACATATCCATATAAATACAAATTATCAATATAAAAATATTATTTAGAAACTATGTTTAATGTCTACGTATAAAAATCAAAATTTAGAAATTATGAAACAAATTACTGAACACAGCATTATACAGTTACAACAAATAATTTTTATGTGATACTTTGATTACATATTCATGAGTCTCATGGATGGATACTTAATTAATAGATGATACTGCTAATACCTTATAGTTTTATTCTAATGCTACCTTCTAAGAAAGCCTTTGGTGCCGTCTGGCCCTCTTGGTGTTCTGATGACAAGAACACCTGGAGGTGGCGGTGATGGGAAAATTCCAGATGCAGTAGCACCTGGTGGTAATCGTGCAAGAACTTTGCGTTCTTTGCCTTTGGAGTTACTGTCACCGTGACAATTATTTTTTGTCCTGCCAGTGCTTTGAGTGTCATTTATACTGTTCACTTGGAGTTTTTCCTGTAATCGTGTCAAACTGAAAAAAAAGGATCTAATTATAGCATAGTGTGTTGAAAATATACCTTAAATTATCCACTTCTGTGGTTCCTATATCTTGCAAGCCAGTGTTCTTATAGTATTATTATGTGTGTATTATTATTATTATTTATTTATAAAACTAATTTATATGAAAATATTGGGTAATTGTTCAGCAGCTTACTTCTTTTATTAGAGGCATAAGATCATTTGAAATTAGGCATTATTGTACAACATAAAATCAGATGATATAAAAAACAATGATAAAAACAAACAAAACTATGGCAAACTATTGTATTTATATAATTATCAACCACAGAAATGTAAGGTGATGAATTCTTAACATTGGAGAAAAAACATTAATACCTTATGGATACTATTTAGAATAATAAATATATATCTTACTTATCGTCAATTACGTCCTCAGGGCTCCGAGCTTCACCTAATATTCGCAAACGAGCCTGTTCATATTCTTTTTGCCTTTGTTCTAGCGTCTTCACAGGTCGCGCACGACTCTCTCCGTTTAGCTGGCCGCTAGCCAGAGTTGATGGTCGTTTCAGGATACGAATAGATGGCTCCGGCATCATGCACTGAGATCCGATACACGCGTTCTCTTCTACTATTACGTTAGTAACCTTGCAACTTTTCAATGAAGTTTTTACAGGGGCAGGAACACTGGACATCAGTTTGATCTTGTTGTCCAACTGAAACCAAAAATGTTTTTGCTAACACCTCGATGGCTTGCGGCGTGGTGATGTGATATTCATAGAAGTTGTTATCCCAGTAAAACTTACGCCAATATCGTCCATGTCCTCCCAACTTTCACATACGTCAACTTCATCTTGGGCCGCCATGTTGACTGACCGATCTTTAATGATACAGATAATAATAAATAGAAAACATATCGAACAATAATTATTGGACTTTTAACTTTGTTTGAGTTTGAAATTATTAGTAAATTGACAATAAAGGTGATAATCAAAAATAAAAAGATGCTTTGGCTATCTATCTGCTCCAATGAAATTTTTTCCACTGCAAGTAAATCAACAAAAACCGTGGCAGATCCTTTGGCGCAGACAGTGCAGAAAGCTGTTTCAATATTTAAATAGACTTAGAATGTTTATGTTTTCTAGGTGTCTCATTAGAATCGAGCTATTATAATTTCACGCTTTACCATCAAGTTCCATGGGCACATTACTTGACGATAAAAACTAACAAATTGCTCTAGAAATTCTTGTGGACCCATTATCAATGACATCAATACCGCTGTGGTGTCAATATAGATAAATATGATTTAAATTGCCTTTCTTGTCAAAAAAGTGGTAGGAAATTTTCCCACCAGGTTTTCTGAATGACGCAATCCGTAGGGCGCTTGTTTCCATCAATGATCCTTCTATTTAAAGGATACTTTTTCGGCGGCTGGCACCCATAATCTCCTTGCTTAAAGTGTTTTTCTAATTTAAATTAATACAACGACCAACATCACAATGTTACTGGCTTCTTTGTCCATCAGGCAAAAACAACTGAAATTATGCTTCATGCTCTGCAGCCACCTGCGGCAGGTGCCAGCGACAAATACCCGCCGGCAGTGCCGCCACCGCTAGCAGTGTGTGTAAGGCCCCAAAGAAGCAATAAGAGCCCTGTGGCCCAGTGCCCTCTGTCGCATTTTCCGTGACGTCAGCAAGAGACCCAGCCGGCGGAGACTTGACTTTTATCCCTTTGAAGAGAGATAAAACCCTCGTTTGACCCTTGCATGCCTGCATGGCGCCATCGTATCATCTACGTACACCAGCTACATTGTTCTGACTAACAATAAACTCCACCGCACTAACAAAAAATATTAATATGATTTAATATTTTGTTAATATATTTTTTTCTTAACATGTTTTGTGTTTTAACTGTTTATTTTGACGTGTTTAATTGCATGTTTTATCTGTTAGATCATTTTACAATTTACATGTGCTTTTGTTTTGACATAAACATAATTTCATTTTCATGTGATCTATAGAAATATCACATTTGCTTTATTACTGTATTTCAATGTTTCGAAATGTCAATGCGCTGAATATTTAATGTGGATTGAAAATGTTCTTTCTTCAAGTTCATGTTGTGATATCTGTGTAACACACTAAGGTAGATAGCATATTATCAACATAAAGTAACAATTACAAGTATAGGTTACTCACACATTTTGTTTTCGCTTTCAGAATTAAGCAATGGCTTCAAGTACTCCTTTTACGTCCGTTCTGACTGGGTTGACCCCTGTGGACCCCGATGAAGTACAGTTCTTAATGTTCAGTGACGAAGATGTTAGAAAATTAAGTGTCATGAAGATAACAAATTTAATTTCTTTTGACGCTATGGGAAATGCAACAAAAGGAGGCCTTTATGATTCTGCATTAGGGCCTATAAGAGACAGAAATGATAGTTGTTCCACCTGCTCAAACTCACTCTTACATTGTCCTGGGCATTTTGGACACATTGAACTGCCATTAGTTGTAGTAAATCCATTATTTATAAAAACTATTTACACTCTCTTTCGCATCAGCTGCTTGAAGTGTTTCAAAATCCAAATGGATGATAGGATGAAATCAATTTTAATACTTCAATTGCAGTTGATTGATGCTGGCCATGTAACTGCAGCTTTAGATTTAGAAAATTTTATAGGAGATGTTAAAAATTACAACAGTGACAGTTCTCCCGAAAAACCTCACAAGTTTATAAGAAAGTGCCAAAAACTATTAAAAAAGAAAGATGCACTGGTTGAAATTTTTCACAGCAAAAATACTGACAAGCTAAGAGCCAAAATTATTAATAACTTTTTTAGAGCTATGAATGTTTCTAAAACATGTATTTATTGTAAAAGTAAACTTATCAAAGTTACTACTTCAGATAACAAAATTATGTACAATATGGCGTCTGAAGATGGTAAAGGTATAAAAATATTGATGCCTGATGAAATTAAACGCTACTGCAGTTCAATAACGCAAAATGATGAGAAACTTTTGTTACATTGCATACCTGTTCTGAAAAATTCACATTTGCATCCACTCACGGACATCTTTTTCATGCAGTTAGTGCCAGTACTACCTCCTTGTGTGAGGCCTTGTAATGTTTTACATGGTGAATTAGTAGAGCATCCACAAACAAATGTTTACAAGAGTATAATGCAATGTTCATACAGTGCTAGAGCTATCTTACAAATTCTTTCAGCCTCAGATCAACAGAAGGCTATAGATGGTCTTGAACATCAACCAAGACAGGCTTACGAAAGTGTTATGGGAAAATCAGCCCCAGAAAAATTGCACACTATCTGGCAAGAACTTCAAAAACAGATAAATCACCTTCTTAGCTGTGAAGGACAGGGTGCTTCAAGTCAAGGATTAAAGCAGATTTTAGAGAAGAAAACTGGGGTTATAAGAATGCATATGATGGGAAAAAGGGTAAACTTTGCTGCTCGTTCAGTTATTACTCCTGACCCTAATGTTGACATTGATGAAATAGGTATACCCGATGCCTTTGCTACTAAATTAACATATCCAGTACCAGTTACTGAGTGGAATGTGGATGAGTTGAGGAAAATGGTTATAAATGGACCAAACAAACATCCAGGGGCTGAAAAAATTGAAATTAAAAATGGCAGAGTAGTTAGAATACCTCCAGATTCAATAGAAAAGAGAAAGAGCCTCGCTAAAAGACTCTTAACCCCTGATGTATACAAGACATCAGGTTTAAAGATAGTTCATAGGCATCTTGTAAATGGGGACGTTCTGATATTAAACCGTCAGCCATCTCTCCATAAACCTAGTATGATGGCTCACAGAGCCAGGATTTTGAAAGGGGAGAAAACACTCAGGCTTCATTATGCAAACTGTAAATCTTACAATGCTGATTTCGATGGCGATGAAATGAATGCACATTTCCCTCAAAATGAGTTAGCAAGAAGTGAAGCGTACAATATAATGTCAGTTAAGCAACAATACTTAGTACCAAAAGATGGGACGCCGCTAAGTGGATTAATTCAGGATCACGTCATATCAGGTGTCAAAATGTCCATAAGGGGTGCATTCTTCACAAAGTCTGACTACCAGCAACTTGTTTTTCAAGCCTTAGCGAACCGTAAGGGCGAAATCAAATTGTTGCCTCCTACCATATTAAAACCGGTGATGCTTTGGTCAGGTAAACAAATCCTGTCCACTATTATAATTAACAGCATACCCAAAGGTAAGCCATACCTTACTTTGATAGGAAAAGCAAAAATCGCGTCGAAAGCATGGCAAAAGGAAACTCCCAGGCCGTGGAACGGTGGAGGAACTCCTTTTCGAGATGCTAACGCTATGTCGGAAGCTGAGGTCGTTATACGTAAAGGTGAACTGCTGAGTGGGGTCTTGGATAAAATGCATTACGGTGCCACACCATACGGTTTGGTTCACTGCATGTACGAATTGTACGGAGGCGACAGTTCCAGTGCCGTGTTGAGCTCGTTTTCGAAGCTGTTCACTTTTTACCTTCAGTGGATAGGGTTCACGCTCGGCGTCAAAGACATCTTGGTTACCGAGGAAGCTGACAGGAAACGGAATGAGTTCGTCTGCTTAGTGCGACAGGTCGGCCGGGCCGCCGCCGCAAAGGCAACAGAGCTCCCCGCGGACGTCGATGAAGACAAACTTAAAGACACTATAGGGGAAATGCTCATTAAGGATCCAAAATTTAGAACGAATTTGGATAGGCAGTACAAGAGCGCGCTGGATTCATACACGAACAAGATAAATACGGTTTGCTTGAGTGAAGGTTTGTTGGAGAAGTTCCCTTACAATAACCTTCAGTTAATGGTGCAGTCGGGTGCCAAAGGATCCACCGTCAACACTATGCAAATTTCGTGTTTACTTGGCCAAATAGAATTAGAGGGAAAGCGTCCGCCACTAATGATATCTGGTCGTTCTCTACCCAGTTTCCTTCCGTACGACACGTCGCCTAGGGCTGGTGGCTTCATTGACGGTAGATTTATGACGGGAATACAGCCTCAAGAGTTTTTCTTCCATTGCATGGCTGGTCGTGAGGGTCTCATTGATACAGCCGTTAAAACCAGTAGATCCGGCTATTTGCAGAGGTGTTTGATCAAGCATTTGGAAGGTCTGAGCGTAGCGTACGATCATACTGTCAGAGACGCGGACGGCAGCGTGATACAACTGGCCTATGGAGAGGATGGACTCGATGTTCTGAAGTGCCAGTTCCTCAAGAAAAACCAATTTGAATTCCTTGATATCAATGCAAATGCCGTGGTCACAAAATCAACAATAGATAAGCTCAAGAAAGGCGAAAACTTAAGAGAAGTCCTCAAATCGCAAAAGTCTTTGAAAAAATGGAAAAAAAAGTATGGCAACCCATTTGAGAAAGTTCGGATTAGTCCTTTCGCTCAGTTTTCGAGATTTGCGAAACAAGATATAGTGTTAGACGAAAAACCAACAGATCAAACTAGGGATCCCTTTTATTGGGAACTAGAGAAGAAATGGCGCACGCTAGATGAAGAAGAAAGACAAGAATATTTTCGGAAAAAATGCCCTGATCCCATACCAAGTAAATTTTCACCGGAATACAAATTCGGCGTGATAAATGAGCAACTAGATGGCCTCATACAAGGCTACTTGAAAAACCGAGAAGTCAGCATGTACATTGGAAACACGGAAAGTGATAAATTCGTGGACGTAATGAATGCCAAATACTTAGCGTCCATGGCAGCGCCAGGAGAACCCGTGGGCTTACTGGCCGCTCAGTCTATCGGTGAACCCTCAACCCAGATGACATTGAACACCTTCCACTTCGCTGGAAGGGGCGACATGAACGTGACTCTGGGTATACCCCGACTCAGAGAAATCCTCATGACTGCGTCTGCGAAGCTGAAAACTCCTAACATGGATATACCGTTCCGCGGGGACCTTTCCGATTCAAACAAGAAAGCAGAGAGGCTCAGGCAGAAACTGAACAGAGTCACCGTAGCGGACGTCCTGGAAAAAATAGACGTGCAGTGCGAGATCGTCACGAAACCGCAGCGGCAACTGATGACAACTATGCGCTTCACGTTTCTGCCGCATACGCAGTACAAAACTCAGTACGCGGTGAAGCCGCAGCAGATTATCAAGCACATGCAGAAGAAGTTCTTCACGGAAATGTTCACTACAATCCGGAAACAGGCGAAGGGCTCCTGCGGCGTGGTGTGGTCGACGGAAAAGGAAAAGAAGAGACGCGCGGCGGCTGACGACGAAGATGAAGAAGGGCAGGAAATCGTGCCGGAACCCAAAGACACGGCCGGGAAGGATCTAGAAGACGACAGCTCAGACGAAGACGGTCCAAACGACGACGACGACAACACAGATGTAAGTGTGTACGGTAATTTTTTATCTGATAACTGTTGTGTATTAAACTTTAGTCTTTTTAAAATAAGCGATGCGTTTGGGTTTTAAGTTTCTTCACAATTAAACTGTTCTTATACAGACACAAATTTTCTGACGACTTCATTTCGTTAAAGGAATTTGATGCTAATTAAAAAGACGAGTCGTCTAAAGATGCATTCGGTTTGTTGCAACCTTTTCTTATGCAGTGTAGGTGTAAAATAATATTAAGAATCATACATTTAAACTCTGTTTTATTCACGTTATAATCCTAAACATTAATAAATATTATATACATAATAACATATAATCAGGCAGTTCAAAAAACGAAATAATTAGCAAACGTGTTATTATATTACGATTTGTTTATTTTTAAGGTAAACATTAGGAAAAAGAGGGCTGAAGGGCAGGAATACGAGGATCCGGAGTCGGATGAAGAGGAGAAATCCGAAGACGAAGCTGAACGCGAAGAAGAGCAAACCAAAATCATTGACGACGAGGTCATGGAGGTCACGCAAGACAAAGTGAACACAGAGGATAGCAGAATAATGTCGGACGTCGTTGATACCCTGCAAAATGCCACCAACTACACGTTCGACACAAAGGCCCATAAATGGTGCGAGCTCACCGTACAATTCCCCATATCATTCCTGAGGGTGGACCTTTCGCAAGCGCTGCGCGATGCCGCAACCAAGTCCGTGGTACACGAGGTGAAGAACATCAAAAGGGCGATAATCAACAAGGAGAAAGGCGTTCTGTATCTGAAGACTGAAGGCATCAACATCGTCCAAATGTTCAAATACGACAACGTTTTGGATTTGAACAAGCTTTATAGCAACGATATACACGCTATAGCGAACACTTACGGTATAGAGGCGGCGAACAAGGTCATAATAAAGGAGATCCAGAATGTATTCAACGTGTACGGCATCACGGTGGACCCCAGACATCTGACCCTCGTGGCGGATTATATGACGTATAACGGGGTTTTCGAGCCAATGAGCCGCAAGGGCATGGAATCGTCAACCTCACCGCTTCAGCAGATGTCTTTCGAGTCCTCATTGATCTTTTTAAAAGAAGCAGTCTTAAATTCGAAGAAGGACACTCTACGCTCGGCCTCCAGCTGTCTAATGCTGGGCCAACCTTGCAGAAGTGGAACGGGAGCCTTCAGTTTGCAGCATAAAAGCACAGTTGTGAATTAAATTGAAGAAGTTCAGCTTTACATAGGGACAATTCACTATTTTACCAGAATGTTCAAACGTTCAATCTAATCGATATACGGATTGGGGGCTTAGTTTAAGGATAAAGAGTGAAATAAAACACAATATACATTTTGAAATCATCTGTTATTTTTCAGATAATTAAAAATAAAACTTATATAAAACATCTGTCTAATCATTAAAAATTTTGCACAGCACTATGGGACGGTGGCGTGTTTAACACACCATCTAAGAGTTTGTACTTTGACCAGAGAAAATACGATATTAAAGATATTGTAACAAATGACATTCAGAAACAAGTCGTTAAGGATTTAGAAGTCGTTGGATGTACATTACTTAAACTAAAGTGTGTAGAATATTAAAAAAAAAAAGAAAATACATCTAAAATTGGTAAGGCCATATTGGTGACTTTGTCAAGAAAGTTGTATTTAATATATTTATCGAATCCTGACAACATATACAGATTAATGATTCATATATGTAGAAGATTCTAACAAAGATTAATGCAATATATTTTTTTGTAAACTTGATGATGTGATACAATAAAAATTAAATTATTTTATTTAGGATTCATTGAATCCCTTTTGTAATAACTTTTTTAATATTCCTAGATTGCTTAACCAATTTATATTTCGCGTGTAAAGATTATATCAACGTAAAACGATTACTATAGCGTTAGCTCTAGGAAGCACAATGATTACGTACTAATAAATAATTTATACCTTACGACGATTACCCCTACATGATGCCGCTATTATCGCTCACAGCGTGAAGAGGAAGGTTAACTAAACACAACTCATTTCGGTTTGGCACTAACTCTATGAGCATAGATTATCAGGGAGTGGTTCCGTCAAAACAATGTGGTAACCAATGTGGTCGTGAAAGTAAACAAAAGTCATTGATTAATCCGTGTTAAAGTCCCAAACATAATTAGATTACCGTTTAGTCTGTGATATCAGGCAAGTTTTGCATTTATAACACAATAACAAATTCATACAAGTCACCACAACGTGATGTATTCATAATCATATATATATAATTCAATACTATTTACTGTGCATTCCCAATTTTCGTCCTTCAGTTAGAATAAAACAAATGAATAGATGATCAACACCATAAATGCCAGTTTTACTTACAACCATAACGAAAATACGCTATTCGTCTATGGAAAAACATGATTCGAGATAGAAAATTCACTGGCAGGGACGGCTACGGTATCATCTGTATTCGAATTTTGGACCCAACTTTATTTACAATCGCGTAACTATAATTAAAAACTTCAAGCTAATAATAACATAAACAATACTATAATGGTACTTATATACTTTTCAATAAATAATTAGCAAGATTAACAATTGATATCGATACGGGTTTCAATATTTCACGCACAATTGTCTATCACAGCCTTATTGATGTGCGTCTTTCATCTTTATTTTATAATTGTAAATAATAACCAGGGATAATATTACAAGTAGCATAAAAACTTGTAATTAAACTGAACAACACATTTAGTGTGTGAAAGTTAAAAGGTTATATAAGTGGAGAAAAGTATCAAATATTTAAGGTCGGTGAAACGTTATTTCTTCAGATGATTAGAAAATAAAGTTATTTACAGTTTACACGCCCCCGCTTATCTAGAAACCCGTATCGAAACGAACGCTCCAAGACTCAAAGCTGTCGTTGAAATGACAACAAAAAAAATATTTAAAAATCGAACTACTCAATTTTTTGAAGAATTATTCAAATTAATCTTCGCAGCGAACATAGCATTCAAGGCTACTCAATATTAATACTGTTTGTACAGATAATTAAAGATATTTACCATTAATATCGCCCTTAACGTTACTATATAACATCGTTTTATAAACGATGTTACGTTATTTCTTTGAAGAAAATATTTGTCCTTAAAAATTGCATCACACATACAATTTTTCAACTTCAAAACTAAAAAATTGTATCTGATAAAATTTTTGATGGCGTTATTAAAAAAGGTAAATAGAATCGTTTTTAGGAAATTTGTATAGCAATATAACGTTTACCTTGAACTTATTAGACTAATTGCAATGTTTATAGATTTACAAGTTGAAAAGCGATATTATTTTCTTGGCTTTCAGCGTGAATCGGTACGCTGCGCTGCTAGATAGCGATATAACGATCAACCAAAGGTCAATAATACCAATACGTGTAACATAGCTATATAGCAGTAACGTTAACGGTTTCCAGGCGCTGTCGGCTAACGGTGCGAGCTGAGCGTTCGTCGCTTCCAGTTAGTGGGCGGTCTCTGCCACGTTGGGGTTCTTCGCCGCCTTCTTCTCCATCTTCTCCACCTTCTTCGCGGCGGCCTTCTTCGCCAGCGCCTCGTCCTCCGCGGGGTTGTCCCACTCCTGTCTGCGGCCGGAGCCGAAGATGTTGTAGAACGACGCGCAGAATATGTACACGCCGCCCGCTATGTAGAACACTATCCTCCATTGCGCCTGCGTTGGCTGCGGGTAGGAGAGTCACGTGTCAATAACATAAGTGTAAGAGTGAGACGAATGCTACGTCTCAGCTTTCGATGTTGTTCGATGTGTATATTACATTAATACGTGAATCGATAACTTTGTACCCCTTTTTACGACAATTATGCGGACGTAGGAGTGTGGAATTTCACACACTTATAGTACATATATATAGAGGAGGAGTGCAGAATGCTAATATTGTTTTAACATTATGCATAAAAAATAACATCACACACACTACCATGTATAAATAATTATGGTCGGACTTCGACTGGGCGACTAGTTTATTAATGCGGGAAAATGGAAAATCGTACGCATCGATAGTGAAAATTTTAACACTGAAAATCGTTGTCGTTATTTTAATATGTTAGTGACATTTTCATCGCGTTACTGTGCAAAAATTTCGTACTTTAAAAGAGATAATTCGTACCAACTAAGCAGGTGAACGCCTAAAGCAAGGCTGGGCATCAAGTCGATCAGGCGATAGATCGCTTGAGATGTTTCAACGTAGAAATCGGTTAAACTACACTAATAGTGCATGTACTTTCGACACTAATAGTATGTACTACACCTTTGCCAAAAGGTACATGGCCTGTAGAAGTTTTATCCACCCCTGGCCCAGTTCGTGGCTTTATTAGTTTGGAATGTGCGTTATATGAAAGTCTCGAAGTTTAGCGGAGAGTTTTTTTATTCATTATTTAAAAATTTATTGTTTAAACGCCCACCCCAACTTAAGGCTAAACAAATGGCAAACTTAAAACTAATAAGCATTCTGTACCAATGAACCCTAGGGAAAATTTGACGCGAAATTAATTTAAAAATAAATGAATAAAAGAAAACAAAGAAAGCAAAGGTATATATTATAGAAATATATTTAAAACATACATAAATACACAATAAAATATTAATAAATAATAAATAAACACCCCATAATACAAATATGTGCATATACAGCGTGTCGTTACCATCGCGACAATAAATGAACACACGTCTAACGCTACTTGCCAATAATCATAAAAAAAAATATTAACGTTAAAAAAATCCATAATTAAAAAAAATATTTTTCAAACAAACTAATTAAGTAAAAAAGAAACAAAATTTGTAACATCCTATACAACTACAACTGACATACATTCAGAGACTTTTTCATTCGTTGCTACAGCGTCGCATTACAAGCCTCTCCTTCTAACAGTATGTTTTGTCTCTTTTAAATTAATTCAACCCATTCATATGCTTTGTGACCTTTGCAAATGAACTTTACGTTACAGTTTTATACGTAAGGGTGTTCTAAAATTCTTTGTTTTGGAAAATGTAATAAGTCTGTAAATATTGATGTTTAAAGAATGTAAATTTTTGATACAATTTTAAAAAGTTATCCTCTATATGTGTGTTCATTTATTGTCGCGTTGGTAACGACACGCTGTATATATATATATATATATATACACATAAATGTCGTCATAGTTCGAAGATTCGACTCACCCTTCCCTCGATGATGTAGCCGGCAACGATGGGCGCGAGCAGTCCTGTCAGGTTGGCGAGGCAGTTGGTGAACGCCATCAGTATACCAGCGAAACGGGGCGATATGTCCAAGTGATTCACCTAAAAGCGTATATACGTGCAAATAGATTAATTGTTATATTTCTAAATTGTACATTTTTTTAGAGGGATTAAAAAAAATTCGGCGCTGCGGGGCTTTACGAACTAAGCTAAGCGGCCGATGACCTCACGGCGCGAAAATCCTGACGTCTATCTACGTTTTTAGCAATGCTTGAGGCGTCTAGCGTGCATACTTTAAAACATACAAGACCTTGGAAATAAATAACATTCAAGGATGAATATTTGTAACGAGATATGTCGCCATTGCTAGTGCCGGCTTAGCCGCGTATTAAGAGTGGCAATTGCTACGGGTCTCGCGCCTAAGGGGGCCCCGCATATTTAAAGCGACTCATCTCTGCCTGAGCATTAATTGTTTGAATGAAACTTATTAAACGTTAGAGTATTTAATGTTTTTAGCAAGTTATACTTAAGAACCCAAGAAGCTGTTTGAAAGAATTTGCTGACGGGCTTTGACGGGCCCCGCGCTTGATTAATCCGGCACTGGCGATTGCTCTTAAAAAAATAAGATTAATTTTGGTTTTTGTGCTAGTCTCTGCACTCAAGATGAATCTTTAAATTGTAACAAAAGGGATATACTATACGAGACAGCTGAAAGGAGAACAGAGACGGAAGATTCACATCGAAGACCGAGTGGGAAAAGAGATAAAAAAGAGAGACAAGACCGCCCTTAGGCTTGGAAATTCCATGCTTTCCAACTACACTACTTATTGCAAGTGGATCGAACGAAAGAGAAAGAGACGGAAGACTCACCTCGAAGACCGAGTGGGAAAAAAGATAAAAAGAGAGAGACAAGACCGCCCTTAGGCTTGGTAATCCCTATTACGCTACTCATTGCAAGTGGATCGAACGAAAGGGAGAGACTATACGGAAGCTGCGGGGAGAAAAGAGACGGAGGACTCACCTTGAAACCCGAGTAGATACCACCGTTGAGGCCGACGCCGACAGCCAAGATGGCGACCGTCGCGGCGGGGTCGCAGCCGGTGTTGGCCGCGATGAACAGGCCAATGGCAGGCCCGTATTCGCCTGCGAATCGAACGTCACGCTCATGGCCTTGAACCGTTTTACCCGACTGCGCGACGCAAAGGGAAGCAATGTTTTTATCAGCCTATGTATATATGTATGTTTGTTTCTTTGCGGCGTTGTAAAGACCTAACGCGTGGGCCGTTTTCGATGATTGCCACGCCGATCGAAACGTCTTAAAGTCGAGAATGGTAAGGCTTGATTTTATTAACAAAATTCTGTATGGCGGAAACTGGACGCCGCGTGGCGAAAACGTTATAACAGCGTTAGAAAAATGTTGTATTCAAACAGCATACGAAAAATTTTAGCTATTACGCAGTCGGATTGTTGATTGTTAATCTGAGGCACTTGTTTGTGAGGAAGCAAGTGGCGCCCGAATACATCGAAACCCGTGGTAGAGCTACGCAACAGTTTCCGCTGTTGCACGAATGGGCAGCTCCGTCCGGGGAAGTACCACGACCTCAGAGAAGATTTACTCACTCAGCGAGTGACTTTTTTTTGTATACCTCTATTGGCGTTCTGTGACGGTGACTGATATGACCCTTCTGCAGACGAAGCTCTTTCGCTTCGCGGTTCCTAACTACCATTCTAGACGTTAGTGAACCAACCATAGATGTAATGCATGCAATTAGATAACCCACGCTTGAGTTACAAAACGCGCGGGGCTGAATCCAGCTCGTGGGATCAGCTATCCAATGCGTTCTATGTTTAATAGTCTACGGGCTGAAAAATAACGTTAACCAAAGTGGAGTAAACTATCGAACCGAATACGAACGAAGAAATAAATAAGAGATACTACGTTCCCAGCACATCGTAAATAAGTAAAAACTCATCGTGTCTTTAATTTATTAATTGTCAAAAACAAAGTTTTCGACGTACGTTTTACGGGACGGTTGATCAATTTACTTACTGCAATGAATTATCAGATACAGTGATCGTTCGACGTTTCAAATATAGAACGCTTGTCTGGCGGCCCCGCTTAGACTGGAAAGCTGTTCTAATTTGACGACTCGGTTCTTTATTCAATATATTTTCGCCTGTTTGATGCTATTATTGAACGTCAAACAAACTACCAGCGGTTCACTAATAACTGCAGTAAATGTATACCAAATGTTTAAACTTTATGGGGTGGGTGGGTTCTATTTTTTACACTGGACAAATATTTGTGTAATCCACAGATAACACATATATTGTCACTACGGCACAGGGTTGTCAATGCATCTCATCCTACAGTGGAATGAAGAATAATAATAAAACTAATTTCCTTTGTTACGGTAATATTTGGAATATGTCGAATACAGAAGTATTTGTCAAGTGAACTTGTAAATCCAGGGCCGAATTTAGAGGAGGGCAACGGGGGCCTCCACAAAATAGGGGCCCCCACAATAGATTTCGGAAAAAATAATTCAGACTAGTAAACAATTTGTCCTTTCATATTTTTTTTTCGTGTTTTACCTTTACCTACAGAACTTTGTACAAACATGATTACATTAAATATTAACGGAAATCAATGGAAAATAATTTGGGGCCAAGGGGCCTCCACGCCTTTGTTGCCCCGTGGCCTCCAGACCTCTAAATCTGGCCCTGTATAAATCCCAATTGTGACAGGCGAGGATTGTGTGATTTCCATAAAGCACAAACTGCAATACGCAAACGCGGCATGAGTCTGGAATGCGACTGTATCTTGTAATGAATTTTGCGCGGAAGGGGGTTGTGTAGTAATGACTCAATGACCGCTGAGACCAAGAAAGATCTACTGTAGTCTTCCCTTCGAAATATTGCACCCTTACTGTGGCATTATATTATCCTGGGTTATATATATATATATATTATATCGTTCTGCGGGTGCCAAATGTTATTTAAATAACAAACTCTGGTGCCGTGATAGCTCAGTGGCCGGGCGCTCGCCTTTAGTTCAATATACTCGAGCAACCTGAGTTCGATCCCCGGTGCCGGCACCAATGAATTTCTTAATTTCAAGCGCTGAATTATCACGTGCTCAGCGGTGAAGGAACACATCGTGAGGAAACCTGCATATTTTCGAAATAATAAAAACAAAATATTTCGAAAATATGTGAAGTCTGTAGTCTTCCCTTCGAAATATTGCACCCTTACTGTGGGATTATATTATCCTGGGTTGTAAGGCCGTTTTACGTACACAAATTTCACGTGGACAAACGCCCAAATCCGAAACAACTATCTGCGGGTCACACAAACAGTTGTCCCGTGCGAGGATCGAACGCACGAGCCCCGGCGCAGAAGCCGATGTCTCGGCAACTGCGCCGTGGAGTCATAAGCAACAGTAAGATCACTAGCGTCACGCGCGGTCGCAAACCTCAACGGGCTGTTGGCAAAGTGATGAAATGACCTGCAGATAGATTCGGCTCAGGTCAGTGTTGCAAACTACTAACAAAACATTGCCCTAAAATCAATATAAAATAGCTCCAAATGCAATTTTCAAAAGTCCCAACCAAGCCCGGTATTGTATTCAAACATATTATTTAAACGAGTTTTTAATTTTCTTAAGGTATAACTTAGTATATAACTATATATAAATATAACTTTAATTACTTTCCTTTAATTACATTCAATAATAGACATTTTGCTTTTTTACTCACTTTGGTCAGTCAAAATAGTGACGAATGAAATATTATTCATGACCTCTAAAAATTACCCTAAACTTATTTGGACCCAAACAAAGCCCAATAGGCATATTTCCGCCCTGATTTTGGGGCTAAAGGCCCTAAGTTGGCAAGCCTGGCTCAGATCTACTCACCGATGCTGTTGATGATCTTCCGCACCTGGGTGTGGTTGAAGCGGCCGCTGGACAGCATCCAGTCCGCCACCACCGATATGAACATGGAGAACAGCCACATGCAGAGGTAGGGCAGGGCGGAGACGAATCCGTTCTGCGGGTGCCAAATGTTATTTAAATAACACACTCTGGTGCCGTGATAGCTCAGTGGCCGGGCGCTCGCCTTTAGTTCAATATACTCGAGCAACCTGAGTTCGATCCCCGGTGCCGGCACCAATGAATTTGTTAATTTCAAGTGCTGAATTATCACGTGCTCAGCGGTGAAGGAACACATCGTGAGGAAACCTGCATATTTTCGAAATAATAAAAACAAAATATTTCGAAAATACGTGAAGTCCGCCAATCCGCAGTGAGGCCGCGTGGTGAACTATGCCCTGATACCCAGCAGTGGGACATTTATAGGCTGATACTTTACTTTACTTTTTACACTCTGGTGATGAATTGATCGCTACAGGCTCTTTCAAGTGGAATTGAATATATTGTGTACATGTTTGTTATATTTGTCAAGTTATCTTTAAAAAAATTGTCCTGCTGAGTTTCTTACGCCGGTTGTTCTCCGGTCAGCGGCTTTTTTTTTTCGAACCGGTAGTAGTGTTTTTTACAACCAATAAGTAAGCGTAATGCTTCTATATTGTATAAAGATATTTGAATTAGAATTTGACGGTTTCAAAATGTGCACTTTTGAACACAACACATGGTTAAAATACTGTGCGCTCTGTGAACAGTTGTTCTGATATTGATTTCTTGTTTTCACGCGAACATTATACATATAAAATGAAACGCCAAAAGTTTTCATACCTCCACATCACAAGCTTTATGTATTTTTAACACGCTACAGAGCCGTGATAGCTCAGTGTCCGGGCGCTCGCCTTTAGTTCAATATACTCGAGCAACTCTATAATTGTGTCTAAAATTTTTTTAAGCTTCATCTTAAATGCAGAGACTAGGCAATAAATAAAAATTAAAAAAGAAAAAGCCCGGAACATTCCAGACGCGATGGAACCCCATATTAAATCAAAGCTCGCGCGCAATGATTCAGACGGGTCAACGAATTCGAACCCGTGAACTGTGGCCTGTGAGCAACAACTCATCGCGGGGCCCTAATTTGATTTGCGACGCTAAAAATAACCGACTTTTCCACTTCGATTCGTCTGTGCGACATTTTAGGATATGTTGGGCGACTACTTCCGATACCAATAAAAGATTGTCGTAAAAATCTGGAGGTATCCAATGGGTAGTTTATAGTATCGGCGCGATAATAATTAAAAGCTTTCTTAAACAGAAATATATTTGAATATTATAGAAGTGTCCGATGGGTTATTTATATTATGTTCGTGATAATAATAATTTAAAGCTTTTTTTTTTTAAACGCAATATGTTTACGGCGTAATTGTTTTCGTGTTACGCAAATAACCTGTTACATAATAATATATGAAATATACATAATAAACAAAAACAAAAAATCTAAAGAAGTAGCTAAATAAAGGATCGTTTCGCGGTTGAGCTCAAAGAGTGTTTTAATTATGTATTTACTTTAAATGGGTAATATTTTATTATTGTAAGCTCAAAAATAAAATATCTCTAATTAAAACGTAGGAAATAACAAAATTCATCATAGTTTAAATTTATATTAATGAGTAATAGAAAATCGCGTAACAGTGTCATTGACGTCTGTAAAATGTCTGAACTGAACACTGTTAATTAACGATGGATGAATATTAATCATTATGATAAAAAAATTATATTATAAATTATAGGGTAACAAAGTTGTTTTTTCGTACTGAAACATTTATATATTATAATACAATATCAATTATGTATTATTCTAGTATTATACACATTTTATTAATGATATTAAAGAAAAGAACAATAAAGGCTTTAAATTATGACAATAGTATTATACTTTAAATATCAAATATTACAAAAAAATATGTCAGAGCGAATAAATCTATGAAAAAGGTAATAAACTGATGACAGGGAAGACTATGTTAAGATGAGAGAGGGATCGATGTACGTGAAATACTCACGTCCTTGATGGAGAAGTGGAGAACTTGGCGCATGAAGGTCGGCAGCTCGGTCATCAAAGTCTCGTACCCGTAGTTCTGGCCCATGTGGGCCAACATGATGGCCCAGAAGGGCATCGAGGTCAGGATCTTGCTCCAAGGAATAGGAGGCGACTGCCGAAAAAACATCAATAAACTGCTCAATATAACATTTTACGCACACAGCGTTGCTCATAAAAAGGTATGTTTGCAGTGTGTACTTATTTCTTTAGCGTAACAAAAGAAAAATAAATAATTTTTTTATCCCCTGTGCCAGTACTCTTTGTTTGTGAAAAAGACATTTAAGGAAATGATAACGTTTTAATTAAATAACTGGCAATTTATAGGTAAATGTCGAAAAGTTGTTATTTGTTGCCATGGTAACACCATGAAATTGGTGTCGCAGTGTCGTGCATCGTAAAAATTCACCCTCACAATTTGCGAAAACGAAAACGACGACTCTTGAACTCTCCCATGTTATCTAATTAATTTGTTGTTGTTAATAATAATTATCACAACAAAATTAACCTTGATTTGGCTCGAGTAACGAAATTAGAATGTCATCAAGAAGTGGTTCGCGCATCGGTATAACTTCGCTATTTCACAGAGTCGTGGCACTCACGCTGGAACCGGCGGCGCCCCAGAGCGAGCTGAGGATGTACTTCTTCTCGGCCTCCTTGATGCGGGGGCACACCTCGGGGTCCTCGGAGACCAGCAGCAGAAAGGCGACGCACCACACGGTGCCGATGAGACCGAACACGTAGAAGATGGAGGGCCAGCCGCCGGCGAAGCCGTACGCGGAGAGCAGCCCCGAGAGGGGCATCGAGATCACCGTGCCGAACTGCGCGCCTGCGAGTGCGACGCGCTGCTGTTAGTCATGACGCCCTGGTACTTCTCCAACCGCCCACCACCCTTTAGGCCATAGGTGTGACAGAGATAGATTGATATAGACAGAGACGGCTCATCCTCACCTATTAGAGTTCTGATACCCGGGTATCAGTGATTATTATCTGGTACTTTACAATAAATTAAAATATGCAATAATACAAAATATACATACTATTACCATAAATCTATTTTGAACAACTTTTTGTACATAAACTTAATCTATTCCAATAAACAATTTGACCCAATGTTAGTAACATTTAATAAAATAATGATTGATAGAGTTTGCGTTTCAAATTTAGCTTTTCCATAACCATACACTATTTTACGATTTCTTTCTAGATCCAATTTCAATCGAAAATCTCTATCCAAGATCAGTCGAAAGTTCAGCAAAATTACATAACTCAACGCGAGTATGAATATTCTTAATATTGTGGATTAATTTATTTATTGTTTTGGTTTAATGTTAAATAACACTCCTTTTCGGTACAGATTGAAAACAAAACAAGTATATTCCAATACCGGCATATACAGCTGCTCCCATCCGACTTCTCTCGTTAGGCGGAATCCATTTTGCCAACATAGCGTGCGAGCATGGCACAATTGGTCCCTGGAATAAAACATTTTTGAAGTCACACGGAAACAACTCATTTGAATGCAAACAATTGGGATCCAAACTTACAACTCTCGATCAATATTCAACCGTAACAACTGCCATTTACAAAAGATCAATGGTGAAAAAATAACGAATTTTGTAAAAAAAGTCAGTGACAAAAGTTAACAACAACCTAATCAACATAATAGAATATGTTTTATTCCCGGTAAAAGTTGCTAGGCACCAAATTGGGCGTGTATAAGAATATTTTTTTTTTCTTGTCATTGGCATAAAGGATAACAAAATGCCAGAATCATAGAAAAAAAAGATTATTTTTAAATTTACTTAAAGTAAAGGCCCATTTACACGGTGCCAGTTTCTTGCCTGTTGTATACAATTAAATTGAAGCAATAAATGAGTTGCATGGTCTAAACAACAAATGGTCTTAACAATTATTGCGCGCAATTTATTGCATTCAATTATTGCTCTTGTATGTACAAGAAAATGGCATCGTGTAAATGGGCCTTAAGGGTAGTGACACACTAAAGTTGTTTCGACGTCGAAATTAAAAACGAAATAAGCGCTCACCTCGCCCAGGCCCTGAATGAAGCGCACCAATATGAGCCAGCCGACTCCAGCCTCGGCGGCCACTGGCACTAGGAGTCCGAAGACCGAGTTTATCAACATGCCCACGCCGAGGAACAGCCGGGCTCCAAATCTGAACGAGTGTTATTAGCTATTATAAAAAAAATATTACTTCAAGAAAAACTCATAGGTTCTCTCTCATCGTCATGTCAAATGTCACGTGATTTGTCAGTTGCTCTATGTGAGAAGGTGGTTAACGAGCTGACGGTTCGGTGAAGGTAAGTGATAACCGCCGCCCATGGACATTTGCAAATCCCGTATCGTTGCAGATGCATTGCCGCCTTTTAGTAAAGTGGGCACCGGCTGCCTCACTCATCAGACGAAACGCAGAAGTATTATAAAACTTTTACTTCACGCCGGTCGTGGTACTTCACCGGACGGACCCGCCCAGCCACAGCGAAGACTGTTATGTATTTTTATCAATGTTATATCGATAAATGTATGTATGTTATAAATTGTATGTGTTTTTATCCCGAATTTTATAATTAAAATTCTATTAAATTTTACGAAATATTTTATTAATCAAAATTATTGTTCCTTGGTTCAAATTGTCTCAAATAAAATAGGTCTTTTGCAATTTACATTAGTGTTTCATCATTTCAATTACCTACTTATATTAAAATTCGGAAACTTATAAATACTTATATACTTTTATCGGTAGTCCCGATGAGTGCTTATTTTTTTATCACTTTTTAACATCAACTGGCCAGCTTGCGTGATTATTGTTTTTTTATTTCGCTTTTCGACCGAAAGCCTCAAGTATGATGCCACAATAAAAAAATAATAAATTAACTGCGCAGTCCGAAGAGAACGGACATGCGATTGGGAAGCTGTAGATCAATCAAAAAATAACAAAGAATATTTAATCAAATGTTTCTTACAATGTTACCGCCTTATTCTGTGGGTCTTTTAATGCTTGATGTTTTTACCTAATAGAAATTTTTTCATTGGTTGTTACCTAATAGTTTTTTAGTCAACCTTACAAGGGACCCATTGTGGATGGCGTGCCTAACGATAACGGTTTCCGACCTTGTAAATATTAACGTCACGAGCACAGTCAGATTGTTATCCAATTAGCGCAACGTCAATTTCAAATTTGCCCTCTGACGGACACGAAATTGAGCATTCATTGATCAAGGTCGGTGGAATTTAACTGAACCGATTATTTTTTATTTCGGTATAACTAGGACACGCAGTATCTTCTACTGTTGCATAAATGGAAGAATTAGGCAGGGGAAGTACTGATCAGAAGCAGGAAGAAGAGCGGCGTGATATTCTTCTGTGTGTGGTGAATGAGGCAGTCGGGGCTTGCTTTATCAAAAGATGGCGACGCATCTGCAAACGTGCGGGTGTTTCAGATGTCCATGGGTGGCGGATAACTGCCTTAAACTTAACATCAGGTGAACTGCCTGCACGGTTGCCACCACCTCTCGTAACGTTCTCTTTTATTGCAGTCGGTACAGCACAAAACAAGGCGAACTACGAAGGACTATCCGCAGGTTTTTAAACGAGAGATAAATACGTGTATTTGTTAAATCGAGTCTTATAAATTAGGATGTTTGTAAATTAACGAATTTAATGATTATTGAGAGCTGATTGACCGTCATAAATTTCGGTCGTCAGAATTGAAAATGAGATCCGGACAACACAATAATGTGAACGAATACAAACGTAGCATACAAAACCACTAGGTCACCACTGGCTATTTCATATAGCTCTATCGAACAATTAAGCATAATAAAAAAAATATTAACCGTTTAAATTGCTAAGAAATCACTCACAACCGAGCGGTTGTTCTTTTTTTAAATGTTGGCCACAAAAATAAAAAAAAACAATGCTACTCACCTTTTAGACAGAATACCGAATGGAATTTGCGTGAGGACGTAACCGTAGAAAAAGGACGAAAGGATGTAGCCCTGCAGGGTTGAGCTCCAAACGAACGAGCCGTCTTGCGTTGAAGCCACCTGAATATTCATTTGTGGTCTTAGCATTTTTTTTTCTTTTAACATGCCAGTACAATTGGCATAAAATCAAAGAACCTCAATAACATTAAAAACAAACAAAAAGATTGCAAAAAGGCTTTAGTAGTAGTGGTCCATTGAAAAATTATACGTTCAATAAGTTTTTGCTTTCTTGGATGTCGATAAAGAGCGTTTATCATTTATGATTGAAGCAAATAAAATAAAAGGTTCAATGGAATTTTAAAAATTGCCCGTAATTAGGTTTTAACTTAGATTGTCAATTTACTATGAAAAAATAATTCAGTATGAATGTTATAGAAATGGCAACAAAACTATTAAAAGTTAAGAATATTAGAAATGTTACAAATAAGTTCTTTTTGATGGAAAGTTAAACTATTTGGAATGGTAAAAGATGATATAAAATTTTAATTGTCCTTTTAAATTTATTTACGTATAGCGTTATTTACTTACTTTAAGTGTAATACTATACATTAAAATCTTTAGGGTAGGTGAACAAAAATGGAACTTACGCTGGTCTTGTTAGGGTCGACATTCCCACACTCCGTGTCGATCGCTTCCTTGTCCACGGGCAGAGCCGTGTGGTTTACCATGGCGACGATCGCCACGGACATGTTGGTCCTCATGATGTACGCGTTCGCCATTCCCAGGAACAGCATGAACGTCACCCAGTGCCGGGTGCCGAGGCCGCCTGCGAAAAAGGCGCGAGATTTAAAAAAAATAAAATGAGAACTGGCGGTAAAATAACAAAAATAAAACAGTTTATAAAAACTGCTACAAATTTTAAAAGCAAACAATAAAACAGTTTATAAAAACGGCTACAAAAATTTTTGTGTTGTCGGGCCTAACAACAGCTTTGGCTGTTGCACGAACGGGCAGACTCGTCCGAGGAAGTATCACGGCCTCGCAGAAGACCAGCGTGAAGTGGAAGTATTATTCTTTCGCGTTACGTCTGGTGAGTGAGGTAACCGGGGCCAAGTTTATTACTGTTGGTAGCAATTCTGCAACCCGTCTGTTGTAGATTTCCTTGAGCGGCGGCGACCACATGAACGAAAAACACATGAAAATTAAGATCATATGAATCACCTGCTCGTATGCCAACTTTTAAAAGATATCTCGAAATAATAGCGGCGACAAGCAATTTAATATATTTACAATATGGCAATGATAAAACTATTCAACGTTGTGTAACCTTTTCTAAAATAGCTATATTGTACAGAATGCATTTTATAGAAATATTAATTTCTAGAGATAACATACGAATACGTCACTTCTAATCTCATCAATGTCACCGTTAATGTCTTTAAGGTTTTTTTTCATGTTTCCGAATTTATAGGATGATTTGTCTATGGATGTACCGAGTACAATCCATAGACAAACGGGCTTAGCATTGCTCTCATAGTAGTGTACTTATTGGTAATAAAAGTAAAAAAAAAATTAACATCGTATTAGAAATAAGCGCAATTGTATGCGTTCCGTACCAATGACTTGACAAACTTTCTTGAGATTTTCGGTTTAAGAGCAAAGTTCTACAAAGAAATTGAAAGAACTAGCTACTACTTTTTGTGCGTTTGTCTTTCACACTAAAATATTATTTACGTAGTACAACGTGTACGTGAAATTTAATACTTCAAATGACATAATCCGCACATATCACGACTTCCAATGACGAAACGAATAGTGACGAGATAAACCCTGTGTCATTAATTAATGGCGGCTAAAACACTGTACTTGACGTGTTTACGTATTACCTATCATATAGTGATTGATAAAGACATTTTATCGTATTGCAGTGAGCGATAATCGTAAAACTATATCGCCGTCAATACTAGTGGCTGACTTAACTGACCTACGCAGTAGGTCAGTTAAGTAAGGCATTGCAACAAAATACAAGAAGATATGTTATCGACGGCTATAGCATGTAATTTATAAAATTATCAATGTAAGCTATTGCAGTTGTACAAACATTGTGGATTGTCATAGGATTGTACATTTATTTGGATCATGACAAATTTTTTATATAGATCGCGAATCCAACACGGACTGTTGTAATTATTTCCTGGGTACCTTGTGTACGAGGTGTGTTGGTTACACCGTGCACGTATTTTTGGTGCGATTTCGATTTTTTTTAAACATTTGTGCTATCATTTCAATAAGCTTCGAATCTTGTACGTACACAGTAATCTCTGCTGAAATTACCAAAATGTCGCAAATAAATAATGTCGTCTATTGATACGATTTAGAATTTCTCTGGAAATGTTCCTATCTTATGCCCATAATCGACCTGTGTTATTTTTATCGGAGCCAGCATATTACAACGTTTAATTTTTATGCGGTAAAAAAATCTTTTATAAAAACATTTATACTCAAAAAACAAGAGCTTATCTTATCGAAAAAAGGAATTACTCTTAGTTTTTATTAAATTGGGCTTAACTTAAGTTTGAAACAATTTTGCCTCGGTTTGAGCGAAAAATGTTTTTCTTTTTGTAAGAGAAAGGTGGCAAACGCAAACGAAACATCAGCGCTTCACCAATCGTTAAGAGGTAGATTTTTAATATTATCTATATTTAGTTCTTTGTTAACATTATCTGTAGAACATTGTATAACTAGTTGCATAATAATTCGAGCGCCGTCATATCTAAAGCAAACCTGTTATATAGCCTCGAACTTGGCAAAGTTCTAGTTCCAAGCGCCAAGATGTCAATTCCTGTAGCGGTCTTCCATTAGAAATAGTTTACAAACATACACCTTCGTAGACATAATACCATGAACCACAATTCATCGACGTTCATTAATATTCTGGCGACAACAACAGTAAAAAAAGTTGATAAGAAAAAAAATCATTTAGTAAGAAAAAAATTGTTACGCCAAAAGATTCCGCCAATTCTGCTATCGAATGTAACATTTGATGTCACGTTTAAATACAAACAATTCAAACATAACCTAAAATTCAATAGTTATGTACCTATTTAATAATCACGAATTGCCAGCTTATAGGTGTTTTGCACTCAATATCTAGAACATTCTGTTCTCGAAATTATGTCAGCGTTGATCGTAAAATAACATGTCAGCGTTAACACTAATTTACGTCATATTATTGAAAACATTGCGTGCATCCTAAAGCAGAGGCAGTAAAGATTCCATGAAGTAAATATGGACGTCGGTTCGAATGCCAAGAAAAGTTCGCGCGTTAAAACCGTTTAAATTTAGAAATAAAAATCTCTCTCAGCCTTCCTTTCACTCAACACTCTTTAACGGCGGTGTCTAGAAATAATCTAGGTAACTGCTTTCACATGCTTTGCTTCTTACGCTAGTATCTGAAATAAATCTACTTTTGAAAGAGTTTTAGATGTTAAAACTCTGGAGAGTAACAAAATTATGATACGAGATTGAAAAATAATTTCGTTTCTGTAAATATCTTTTTAAAAATGCATAATGTTAGTTATTCTAACCCGTCTTTAAGACTGCTATATCATGTATCTGTGAGAATTCACATTACGGAAACATTTTTTTTTTTTTTTCACTTTATTATTATGTTCAAGCTTACGGGCTACAAGGATATTAAAACAATATTCATAAAACTTCGCTTTACACGCAGAATACAAATCAAAGTTATATTTCAAATTGTAATATTTGAAATATAATAAGCCTGGCATGCAAAATTTAAACGAGATACAAATAAATAATAATAAAGGAAAATTAATAATAAAAAAATATAATAAAGGAAAACACATCAATAGGGAGACAAATTCACTCTCTTGTATTTTTACTACCGACTTGTAATTAATTCAAACTGGATTTGTTGCAACTACTTGTCACCAATTAATTTCTCTTTAATACACGATATACATCGTCAAAAGACCTCGTAGTGCAATATAAATAGACAACTTCAAAACTATTTACAAAAATAGTTGGTGTTATTATCTTTTACAACGGGTTATGACATCAGACCTGCACATTTTTATAGCAATTTGAAGTCATATTCATAATTACTAATTATTACAATGCATAAGCAGATAACGTTTTCGGAATAGTTCACACATCCTTAAAGTTGCAACTAAAGTAGTTATCTAAACATTTATCCAATAAAAAATGAGTTGGCTTTTGGTGTCATGCCAACAAGTTTTTTTTACTTTATTTTTCTTTCGAGTCTAGATAATGATTTTCTTTCCGTTGTGTTCCTTCTGTTGTGAGAACAAAAAAATCCGAGCAAAGCTTTTTTTTTATGGAGAGTGATGACTAATAAGCTCTGAATGACTTCAGGTTACAGATAAAATCGTACATGTAAACTATATGTTTTAAACCTGTCTTTATAGAAAGATACACACTTGTATCTTTTTGGGTATGTATGACATTATATATTAATTTTCATTCTTAAAGAATGTATACCAAAAATTCAGCTTTCATGTTTTAGTATATCAAATATTCATACTTAATATGCTTACTTCCTTACTTATATTATAAAAGCGAAAGTTTGTATGTATGGATAGATGTTTGTTACTCTTTCACACAAAAACTACTGAATACATTTTAATGAAACTTTACAATAATATAGCTTATACATCAGAATAACACATAGGCTGTAATATATAAAGATATTTTGTGAATTATCCAAAATAAGTATAGGTAATGATAAGTGTCAACTAAATAGTGTATAATAAGAGGTCATTGTTAATTCCCTTTGGCCGCGCGGGTGAAGCCGCGGATAACAGCTGGATAAGATGTATGGCATATATAATTTTCATGTCCGTATTACACGTTTTAATGGCAGGTTAATTCTAAACCAGCAGTCCCCATGAGATCGCACGACGTCAAGGCGACACGTGACGCTGCTAAAATTATTGCCAAAATAACATCTGTCCGTGACGTCAAAGTCAGAGCGCGAACAAAATGTACAAATGTCTTTCTATTTTGAAATATTAAAAATAATTAAATAAAATAAAATAAAAAACAAGCATGTGAAATAAAGATATTTACGTTTGTCGAATGACGTCGACGATGTTGGTCCACATCCAATTTTGGAGCGCTATCGCCTACGCAGAACTATCGGAAAAGACGTTTGCAAATTCTTCGTAATATATTTAAAATAATTATTACGAACTAGATTACACTTGACACCATATTATTACAGCCTCTCGCCTATATCTTTCGGTGATTACAAAAATTTACGAGTACACGTGTATTTTTATTACGTGCTAAAATAACCTACCCGTCTATGGCGTCAAAAAGGCGCCTATACTCTGTCGCGACAAGTATGATCTCAGTTCTGACGGTCATCGATTGATACGGGTCAGCCGCCCTGGAATGGGTGAACTTAATGTAAGCGATACGAACCGTCATTCTTTACAATTAGCGCGCTTATCACCCTCAAAATGGAGCAAGGCATATTTTTATTAAATTTATCAGTATTTCGATTCTTCGGCGACTCGGTGCTAAGCTATCGGCATCGGCGTCGGGGGTCGTGGATTCGATTCCCACACGGGAAAAGTATTCCTGTGACCCACAGATTGTTCCGGATCTGGGTGTTTGTTTCTCAAGTAGTATTGACGTAGGACAGTCGTAAAAACAAAGCCAAAACCGCTTACAACATGATTCACCTGTGCCGACTCCACCTAGGTGGGGAGTATGATGATAATTATGAGTATTTTACTTCAACCCATTCATATGCTTTGTGACCTTTACAAATGAACT